TCTCTGTTTCACTCTCCATTTTTGTTACATTCCTGGACGTTTTATCCAAAATGTCCTCTTGTGTTTCCGCTCCTCTCCTCAGGGTTTCTTTGGTCGCCCGTTGCGCGGCAGGTTCTCCACCGTGTTGCTGAGCCGGTACTTGACGATGATGCTGTGCACCGTCGACTTAGGCATCCTCAGCTCCTGCCCGATGGCCCCCTCGGACTTGCCGTCCTTCCAGAGGTCCACCACCCGCTGCCGCTGCACCACATCGTGCTCCTTGGTCTTCTGGCAAGCAGCGTTTGGCCCTCCGGTGGCTCCCCAAGCAGCTCCCCCGGTGGCCCCAGCAGCGGCGGCGGCTTCTGTGGGGGCAGACAAGCGGCAGACTGTAGTGGAGACTCGAAGAGGGGAGCAGGATAATGTGACACTTTACTGGTCCCCGTAGGGAATTCTCTGTTAGTCTGCCTCCCTCCTCTGCGGGGAGGTCAGAGGTCAGAGGGGAGCTACTGCAGCTGGCGGGGGGTTCAGTGTCCTGCTCAAGGACACCTCAGCAGTGCGGGTGCCTGCAGACATGAGGGCTTGAACCAGTGTGCTCCACTTGAAGGGCAATCTCTAATTTCTACGCCCCTACAGGATGAAGTTTTGTCTTTTAGTGAAGATGAGTAGCTTCCTCATGGCAGCACTGATCGCTGAAACAGGTTTTCCAAAAATGCAATTCAGAGTATTGTGCAAATGCTTGGATATTGGCATGTGTGAGACAGCACGAAACAATCCTTCATGGGAGCACTTGGCGTATCATTACATTCTGTAGTTCACAGAGTGCAGCTAAAGTAGTAGATGTAAAAAGTGCCACGGCAGACATGCATATTTCTGGATGTGTTTTGTGTACTCAAGCGAGGGAGCTTCTCTCAGGAGAGGGCTATTAATGGTGGAGGTCACACAATCAGAGATTTTTTGTTGTTTTAACTCCTGCTCACTCTTTCCCTCCCTGGCTGGAGTCTAAGAAGGTCAGGAACCAGCACGACCCCAATCAAGACCGTAAATGTGGCCTCATTTTGCTGCATGCCTGTGCCCTGCCAGAGTTCAGGATGTTCAGACTGCACTCGGCTCGGCTCGGCCTGCGCTCAGCTCAAGCTGCTCGCCGCGAGGCCCCCGCAAGCGAGAAAAAACCCACGGAGCAACACAACTCGCGCGCGACTATTTCTGAACAGCACAGCACCGGGGCCCAGCCCTCCGCCGGTTCACAAGTCACAACACGACGTTTACACAACCAAACTCCTTCTGCGGTTTCTGTCCCTCTCAAAATACCTTGGTACAAAGTCCGAATGTTTTCTTGGCACACAGCATAATGACATTTTCAGAGATAGGCCCTGGCTCTCTAAAATGCAATGCCTTTGACAGATGTCTCAGTCTACAATTACATAAATCAAGATACACTGAGTGGAGGCAGGCTGCACTGAGAGAGAGCTGGGTGTTGTGGTTTTTTTTTTTTTTTTTTAAGGCAAAGCTATTGGGGAATATCAGGTTCTACCAGTTATCTCTGCCACATCGCCGCTATCTAAACATCTCCGAACACGCATACACATGCAGAGTGGGGAGTGCGTCTGGTGAGCATATGCTGTTACCAAACTAATTATGAGAAAATAAATTCACAAAACTGCCAGTGCGCTCTGACAGACTGCAGGCGAGGAGAGCTGGACGAGGGGCCAAAACAGAACTTCTTTTTATGATTTAAAATCTACGGCTTTTAACTCAGTAAGTAACGAGAGCCACAAAAGGACTTCACGAGTGAAAATAAACATGCTCGGGAAAGAAAACACTCCCCCGACAGGTTTGATAGCACTCCAGACTGTGCTTTACTGTTGCACAATGTGCCGTTACTGCTGAGTATTGAGGTTTTGAGGTTGGACATGTTAAGAGATGAAAATGCCTTAATATAGCAGTGCAGCACGTTCCTGTTTGATTTCGGTAATGTCTATTTCAGGTGTCTATCTGGCAGCCGCATCAGAAACTCTGCCACAGATGTGTTTTTCCAATATGGACTCCGTTCTGGATTTTTGCAGGTTTCACAACTTAAGCTGCTCGGGGAGATAAAGTGTCGACTCAAAGTGCTTAAAACAGATCTGCTTTAGAAGCCATCAGGTAGCTCTTTGCTCCACATATTTAAGGATTACATTGAAACACAAGAGCTAAACAACACTGGACTTGATCGTGCATAGAAATATTCCCAGAGTCACTCATTTCGATTCTCCTGACTGAATGTTTTTCCACTACAACATAACCATATAAAGATGAAATTCCTCAGATGATATCTTTAAATAGAAGCAACATTTTGGACCGCTTTTGCCCATCATCAGTGCAAGTTGCCAAGTAATCAAGTCCAGATCTCTGAGGATGGATCTGTGCTCCTCTGTCAGGGTGTCGTGGAGACTCTGTAGCTCTGCTCCCAAAAACTGTAGCTCCACTGAGGCAGCAGAGACCACAAGAACTGTGATTAGCGAGCCTGGGCCGTGTGTGTGTTTTCTTGTTCAGATTTCTAAAGCTGCAAGAGGTTGTCGTTGGGTAAAAAACATGGAAAAAGTTGAGGTAACGATCTCCTTTTCGGTAATGTTGGACAAACTTATAATTTGTCTTTTGTGTGCAGACGTCCTCGCTGAGATCGTTATGACAAGCTTGACTTAAAGGAGCACAGCAGGGATTTTGTATTTCACAAAAGACGCATTAAAATAAAGAATAGTCAAAATCAAAGCAGCACAGGCCGAAATATTCCTGTCTCTTAGTCCTTAGTATGACTTAAAGGAAAAGTTTGGATCTTTTGAAGTAGGCTTGTATGAGGTACTTATCCATAGTCAGCGTATTACACACAGCAGATGTCTGTCAGTACGCCCCCAGTTTGGAGAAGCAGCAGGAGTGCCGGCACTGAAGCTAAGCAATGTACTGCTGTGGATGGGGGCTGCAGCAAAATGTATTTTAGCCACCTGAAAAACACGCTGTATTGACAGCATTTATACTGCTTTACCTTTTGCGTCAGACAGCCCTTTGTGGCAGGGAATTGAAGCCATTACGGTATCTATATATAACCCGGTTTCCACCAAACACTTTCAGTATGGTACCTTTGGGACCACCTTCAGACATGGTACCTAGACCCTAGCGTTTCCACTGCAAACAGTACTCTTTCATGCTGCTCCGTCCAGCACTCATTGTATTTCCTCATCACCGTCGACACAGATATAAGTCTGCGCCTCGTTTATCGTCCACAGAACGAGGATGCACGCCGACATTTTCAGAACAAAATAAATCAGGCTGCAGTGAGAGTCCCTCTGCATGGGATATTTAAAAATAGCAGATTTGTGCATTTAGTCCTTCTCAGGCAAGCTCAGGTGTTTAGTGTTGCCAGAGCCCACAGGAACGATGCTCCACAATGCTTTTTTTTCTACAAGTGAGGATTGGGATGTACGCAGCTCACATAACTTGGTCGAAATTTTTATATATTATGCTTAAAGATGCACTCGTTATCAAAAGTGTATGTGATATAAAAACTGAAGTGATGGTCACAGCATTGAGGAACATTACAAGTTAACGTTCCACCTTAAAAGTCGCCGGCAGTCGACCCAGTGAATGAAGTTATTGTTTCTCCGACTCCAGCTGCTGCAGTTACAGTTTACTAAGAAAACTCTCCACAGTATGAACAGTGGTTACATGAGCCTCAAAACCAGCCACAACTCAGCCCTGAGCAGAGTGACCGTCCTCTACTGACCAATCAGACTGCAGTGTTCACAGCTCCACCTTTTAGTACGGTACCATCCACAACTTTTCACAGTGGAAATGGAAAAAAAAGCGAACTGAACTGAACTGCTCATTGGAAACAGGGCTTATGACAGCACGGTAAAGCAGTGAAAATATTCTGAATATAACGCACACTTGAACGGATATTGAGTTGTTCAGGTGGCTAAAATACATTTTGCTACAGTAGTACATTGCTCAGCTTCCATGCCGAACTCCTGCCTGCTTCTCCAAACTGGGAGCGTGCACCACCATCTATACAACCCACTTCAAAAGATCCAAACTATCCCTCTAAGCTGCAACAACACCGTATCCGACATTTCCTGTAACGCAATACAGTCTTTTGTTTGTCCCTCCTCACCTGCACCTTTTAAACTCCATGCCCCCAGTTCATAATACAGGTTATAAACTGGTAGTCTACAAGCCTGAGCAGATATAACCCTAATGACATCACTGTGATGTCATCAGAGTTATTTTCTGCTCCAGCGCCACAGATTTTACACAAAACTCTCCACAGGCTGAGTCCTCATGATGAGTAAACAGAACCTCATGAGTGCCCCTTTTACACACGTTTACTTTGATAAATCTATATTTTCTGCTCGAGCTAGCGCAGCCATTTCCTGTACAAATCTTCCCATAAATCTCTCCTATCACCAAGTAGAAGAAAGAAGACACACGGGAATCCTTCACCTCCGCAAGGAATCATAAATCTGGCTTAAACTGCCAGCTTGCCAACTGTCAAACACATCAAACAAGCCGGTATTCTTGTGTAAATTACCTTGGATGCTATAATTATGGGTACTGTAATACCTTCAGATGTTTGCTTATTACTGACTGGAACACATCCACCTCGCTCTCGCTCTCACACCCACAGATTCACACACAGAGCACCTGCGCTGGCAGGTGAAGACTGAAACGGCTCCTAACTGGCCCCTTAAGCACTTTCAGAGGAGGAAAAAACATTTTTCCACACGACTCAAAATGCTGCACCTTCATGCAAGATGAAGAATTCCAGATGTCTGTCACAAAATAAAAAACACATTTATTTATTTAGATAATACACCAGTTATGGAAAATGCCCTCATATAACGCAACTTTCTTCGCAAAATTCCGAGCTACCTCTTGAACTTTTCTGCGTTTGCGCAACACTCGTCTGCACGTTTATAAAAACAGACCCAACTCCTGACCCAGCTGCTACTATCACAAGTAAAGGATGTCAATGGAGATTTAACACTGACCTGATATGAAGGATCCAGGCGGCATCTGACTGTAGTTGGCCCCTCCCATGAGTAGGGCGCTCGGGGGTGCGGGGGTGAAGGGGGCTCCGTAGTTGTGAGGGGTCGCGTAGGGTCCCGGAGGAATGGGCTGCAAAGAGGAAGAGAAGTTTTGTGCATGTCGGATGTGATTTATGAAAACAGATGATATAAGATAAGATAAAGCACTTCTACGTTACGTAAGCTGACAGAAAGAAATCTGCTGACTAAACAGTTGTGGAGTGAAAATCCACAGGTGGGTGACAAGATAATGGGCTCTGTGTTTCTCATTGGCCGCTCTCCATCTATTATTTTTCCACTGAATGCAGGCAGCTGCAGGTTTCAACTTGTGCATATGAGCATGTGTTTAAGTGTGTGTGTGTGTGTTTAGAAGCTGCTGGTTGCTGCTGACCGGGGGTGTGTGCGTCTCAGTGCCCTTGCTGGCCAGTCGGCTGAGGATGCTCCTCTCGGACATCTGTAGGCGGGCGGCGATGGGTGGGACTCTGGCCAGCGTGGCCGGTAGCCGGGTCACGTCGGCCTTCATGTCGCTCAGCAGCTCCTCCAGCTGGTTCAACACTGACAACAACAAACATCAACAACTACTAAGACGAAAGACTCACTGCTTTACTTCTGATCCATAATTGCATGTTCTAGCTTGATACTTCCTGTTTCTTCGACACCTCTTATTAATCATTTGCTTTGTATGGATACTTTATTGATTGATGCAGAAAAAAATAGCTCCCTTGTGAAGGCTGAGGCTCAGGAACTATATTATATATTTCATTTAACGTCCAGGGTCACTTCAGCTCCCAAGAAACCTTTGAGATTGACGACTTCTGGACTACAAGGTCTCCGCTGAGATGCCAGCGTCCACGGTCAACACTACTGTCTTTCCGAAGACGTAGCGGGCTGAGTTTTAAAGCCAGAGTGAAGACACTGCTATCTTATGAAACTAGACGACCTAATGAATCCATTCGTACCTTGTCAAGCTAGCTTGTCGGGAAAGGGGGGTTAACATAGCTCCAAATTTGGGCAATGGAAGAAAACAGCATGGCCATTTTCACAAGGGTCCCTAGAACTCTCAGCTCAAGACATCTGAATGAAAATGGGTTTTATGGACCTTCTAGGACCTTGAGGACATCTGGGGTCGGCCTACTGGCCGTCCCAAGAGTTAGAACGCAACATGGTGAAACAGCATTTTGTTATCATGCTGCACAAACCTGGAATAACCTCCCAGATGACGCTTGACATGCCCCGTTTTACACCACCTACTACTACTCAAACTCGACTTTATAATATTCATATCAATGGCATCACATGGTCTACATAATATGGTCAATCACAACAGTAACACATACCTGTATCCTTTCTTATGTTTTATATTTTATTACTCTGTAAAGCACTTTGATATACCCTGGTGTATGAAATGTGCTGTCCAAATAAAGCTGCCTTGCCGTCTATGGATACCCACAAGTCTCTCTGTTAAAGATATGCCCACTTTCTGCTAGAACAATGCACTTTTTGGTAAAAAAACATGCGGTATACATGTGTTATTTTCGCCTATTGTGCTTGAATATTTCTGCACACCGGAGCCTCTAAACAGTCTTGGAATTGCATAACTTGGGTATGAGTGGAAAGCTGACACTCTTGTGGATTCAACAAGCCCAATTTTGTTTACGTGTGATGATGTTAGCCACCACAGTAGCCATTTCATTGACCTCACTGTATAAAATAACCTTAAGTGACCTCTAGGATGATCACAGCCTCATGAAACTTTGCGACCACAAACTCGAGACCTTGGCATGCAGAAGATGTTTGGCTATCCTAAGTGTAGTGCAGTTTCCAGAACCGAAGTGCTCGCTATCCAATCAATGAAAAATGCAGTTCGTACAGAACTCTCCAAATGTCAAAAGGTGTTCCTTAAGGTCTTGGTGTCTAAGGCCCTGATCACACAGAAAGCATTTTAGCAGCTGGAGGCGGCTTTTTGTAACTGTTTTTAATGTGAATAAAGCTTTTTTCTCGCCGTTTTTACATTGCGATGCACCTCGCGTTTCTGCAGGAGCGCTCTGACTTCCTTGAGCTGAAAGACTTAGAGCTGAAAAGAACCCACGTCATCTTTTTTCCAGTTGTCCAATCGGATGATTTGAGAGGCCGGCCTTCTGTGGTGGTCACGACAACAAGTTTACAGTTGGAAAACAATGGAGGAGAAACTGGTGGTAGTGGTTGCTGGATACCCAGAGTTATACAACCCGACAATAGACAGAAAATTTCTACAATATGCCTGGAAACAGCCATCATCGAGGAGAAGCTCCTGGACCAACTGGTGGTACTCCCCATGACAAACCGTCTCTTTCAGGGTCTCATGTGCCCACACTGATCTCTGTTTCCCCGTGACCAACAAACTATTTGCTGACAGCCTCTCACCCTCAACCAGAGCTACAGCAAGTACCCTCTGCCTCAACATGTTAGGAACTAGATACTAATTACTGGGGGAAAAACGGTAGATTGATTACACGGGAAGGTTAGAGAAAGGACAATACAGGGTGCTTCACATGCTCAAAGTCTGAATAGGCGCCTAACCAAAACACAATGTTGATTACATATTTTTGAGTAGAAAAAGTCAACACACAGTGTTGGGCTGCATCTCAAATTAATCTCCAGGTTCCCAGCTTTCAGATGATGTTCACCACTCCCATGTGGCGTATACTGTTGAGCTGTTATCTCCCCCTAAAGATCCCCTGTCCCCCCAAATTAGACAAAAATGGATAAGTTCTTCCAATGTTATTATTAGTTATATTATCATTTATGGCGTCTAAACACTATAGTCTGTTCGGTTTAAAAGTCTTATCTTGGGGTATTTTTATTTCCAAAAAAGCCCATTTCTCACTCTATTTTTACAAGGGATTTCTGTTCCCATCCCTTATTATCTCATGACTCTGTCATCACATCCCCTCATGGAGTTAATCACTGATTAGAGAGCAGCAGCGTCACTTTGCAACACGATAAGTCTGTTTATGAGAATTCATTAAGTGCGGCACCATTACGTGCAGAGACACAAGGCAGAACAGTAGTGTGCTGAGCATGTTATCCTTTCGACAGAACAATATAAACATGAACAGACTTGCCAGTGAGGAAATGTTTGGAGCGATAGTTTAACAGCGTGTAAGCTTATCTGCTCAGCTTTATTAAAGTCAGCTTCAGGCAGAAGTGATATGGGCTCAGCAGGAAGGAAGACGGATTGCACAACATGTGTTGATGTGTATCTCTCTTTTATTGTGTGCCTGCCATTATCTGTTTGCCAATCTCTCGCACTTTGTCTAAACTGCCTTTCTCGGCTTAAATGTTTGTTTTTTTATGAGCTGAACAGACAGATGAAAACAGAGAGAGAGATTTTTCACCCTAATTACTGACATCATCCCATCTTCTCTGACCTTTGTGCAGGACAGCGTTGGCTGGCTTGTTGCCCGCCAGCGACTCCTTGCTGAGGTGCTGGTGTGACTCTGCGAGGCACTCCACCTCTGTAAAGCGCGCATTGAGCGCCATGGCCGGGTGGCTGGGGTCCTGGGTCATGTTCAGGTAGGCCGCCCGTCGCAGCTGCTCCTCTATCACCAGCGCCTGCTCCAACAGCTGCAGGATGAAGGGGTCAAATACTGATGTCAGTGAACCACAATCATTCACGTGTCATTTTTTGTTTGGTTATTTTAAGTATTTGCTAACAATGTACCGTTAAGCACATTTTATACATCTGTTGAAGACGTAATAATGTATTTTTAATATAAAGACCAAGAGATTATTTTCACTGTAAGTGTTTTCATATTAATGGTTTTCATTCACAAATGTTGATTCAATTTGCAATCAAGCAACATTAAAGGAAAGAACATGAAAATTGTGGGGGGGTTTTACACCATAATATTTCCTAGTTTTCATATTGTGCACCTTACTGTCATGTAGTTTTAATTTTCTGCACTTTACTTCTGTCTAGTCTTTATTTTTGCACCTTTCCACTTTCTATTTTTTTTTTTGCACCGTACTGCTATCTAGTATTTATATTTTGAACCTTACTGTTATCTTGTTTTCATATTTTGCACCTTACTGTTATCTAAGTCTTTATTTTTGCACCTTTCCACTTTCTACTTTTTATTTTTTGCACCTTAATATTATCTAGTTCCATTTTTCGCACCTTGCTGTTATCTAGTCTTTATTTTTTGCACTTAACTGTTATCTAATTTATGTTTTTGCACCTTACTGTTATCTAGTTTTCATATTTTGCGCCATCCTGTTATCTAGTTTTAATTTTCTGCACTTTATTGCTGTCTAGTCTTTATTTTTTGCACCTTACTGTTATCTTGTTTAATTTTTTGCACCTTATTGTTGTCTTCGTTTTGTTTGCACCTTATCATTATCTAGCTTAATTTTTTGCACCTTACTGTTATCTAGTTTTAATTTTTTGCACTTGACTGCTGTCTAGTCTTTATTTTTTGCACCTTATTGTTGTCTAGTTTATTTTTTTTGCACCTTATCATTATCTATTTTTATTTTTTTGCACCTTACTGTTATCTAGATTTTAATTTTTGCACCTTACTGCTATCTAGTTTTTATATTCTGCACCTTACTGTTATCTAGTTAAAGTTTTTCGCACCTTACTGTTATGTAGTCTAAATTTTTGCACCTTTCCACTTTCTACTTTTTATTTTTTGCACCTTAATATTATCTAGTTTCTTTTTTTGCACCTTACTGTTATCTAGTTGAATTTTTTGTGCATCTTATTGTTATCTAGTTTGTATTTTTTGCATCCTACTGCTATCTAGTTTTTAATGACTACACTGTAGTATTATCGTTTTGGTTTTTTGGGGTTTTTTTTACATTTTTGCACCTAACTGATTTATAGTTTGTTTTTTTCCGCACCGTACTATTATGTACCTTACTATAATCTAGTTTGTATGTGTTGCACTTTGCTGTTATCTAGTCTTCATATTTTGCCCCTTACTTTTATCTTGTTTTATTTTTTGCGCCTTGCTGTTATTTAGTTACTTTTCGGTACCTTACTGATATCTAGTTTAATTGTTTTTGCACCTAACTTTAATGTCGTTATATTTTTTTTTGTTTGTAATTGTATTACCTTTAATATAAGGACCAAGACATTATTTTGATTATAAATATCATGATCTTTAGACTAAATCAGCAATAATGAGACATTATCGGAAATAACATGAAAATGTTATATAAATGGTGGGTGGTCTGCTGGGTCTGGCATTTTCAGGAGGCTTCTGGTCAAACAAAAAGCATCTTACTCTTTAACAAAACATCTAACTCTGTAGGGATCCTTTCCATCATGTCAGTGAATTAATAACAATCAGAGCCTGCCAGCGGCCTGTTCGCAGCTTCAGTGCTCTCTCAGTATTGGACCAATTTCAAAAATAGTTGTTCCCATTAGTCACTTAGACACAGAAACAAGAGAAAATAGGGTGAAGGTTAAAAATACTGAAGATACCATTTAAATTAGTTTGACATTGCTGCAATCATCTCTCATTGTCTGATATTTTTTAGCAGTATGTCAGGGTCTTTCTCAGTTGGCATAGCAACAGTAATGCAAGCATTTCAAATGAAATCAAGACTCATACAATGATTTAGTTGTGGGAGTGTGTCCCCACAAAAAAAGAAAATGCGGTCAATTTCTTGTTAACATGTTGCACAAGTGCGTTATTGTGTTACACAACCAACAGCTGAAACTATGCTAAGGGAAAACTGGTGTGAAAGAGTTTTACTTTGTGCTGTCTTGCGAAGATTTACCGAAAAAAAAAAACCCTCTAAAATACTCCAATAATTTAGCAAGCGAGATAATGAGAAATGTGAAAGAGACAGTGATACAGTAAATGAGGATGTTGAAGGCAGGATCTGAAACATGCGAGCCGCTCAAAAACAGGATGAGAGCTGTTCCAGAAATGCAGCGGTCAGCAATACCATCCAGCCAATATGTGGGTCTAGGGGCATATGTCATCCGACCATCAAACGAGTCAGGTGATTCAAGACACTGCGAAATGTTACTAAAATAGATTGTTTGCATGGAAGAAGGGCTGGCACCGAAATCTGTCTGTGTAACATCCTTAAAGTTGGTTTTGGCTGGTCATAGTCGGAATCCTCTGATCCGCCAATTCAAGACTACTAGTATTCTATTGCTTGTAGTTTAAATGATAGTTTAACATTTTTATATTTCTCGGCTACTGTAAAAAAATATCATTATGTTATCGGAACAAAACAAAACAAAATAAAAATGGCAAATTAATCAAGTGTTCTCCAGTTATAAGAGGAAAGGTGAAGCTACGTCTCGTCTTACCTTAAAGCGTCGAGCCAGGAACTTGTTCTTCATCTCCAGGAAGTTGCCTTTATTCGCCTGCGATTTGAAAGGCTCATTGACGATGGCGAACTGGGGGTCGTTCTGGATGTCCTGCCACCGGGCGTAGCCGTGACTGGCACAGGGGTCAAGGGTCACTTAACACTTTGAATAAGAGATAGTGTGAGGCAGCATCATGTGAGCCATTATCCCACCTAGCATCGTCGAAGTGACGTCACAGTGAAGCTAAATAAGGAGGGTTTTTTTATTGTTGATTGTTATTGATGAAAAAGTTATGAATCAGATAAGAGCTCAACATTTTCACTTCATGTTTATTTGCTTTCTTACTGAGCGCTAAGATGCTATCAAGTCTGTGAGCTAGAGCTAGCACCAGGAGAAGATTAGCTATTAGCATGGAGACTAGCATAAAGAGCGAGGGGAAACAGCTAGCCTGGCTCCGTCCAAAGATCAAAAATATGCGTACCAGCACATCTAAAGCTCACTGATTAACATTTTGTGTCTTTCTTTGTTTAATACGTACACAGCTGAACATGTTAAGGTAACAATCTGTGGTAATACCAGGAGTTGCATGCTGTAGGCTAACTAGATTGTGATGAACACCGTAATTCAAAATGCCAAATTTTATTTTTGTATGAATTAAAAAAATGAGATACAAAATGTTAATTAGTGAGCTTCAGAAAGTTTAGGTTGACCAAAGTTTTTAAACCTTGGTCAGAGTCAAGCTAGCTGTTTCCCGTTCCAACCAGTCTTCATGCTAAGTTTAGCTTAGCTTAGCTTCATTCTTCAAAAAACAAACATTTCAGGATTTAGGGAAATGCTCATTTACGTTCTTCACCAGATTTAGGTGAGGAGACTTATAAAACTCTAATAACTGTCCATTAAATTTGAAATTATAGCCAGCAGCTCATGACCATAGATGGACCGGCAAATCAAAAGCTTTGCGTTCCGGCTAAGCTCCTTCTTTACCTAGACAGTCCGGCGCAGCCACCGTGTAAATGCAGAAGCCACACCAAACCGTTGATCCATCTCACGCTCCGTTCTATCCTCACTCGTGAACAAGACCCAGAGATACTTGAACTCCCTAAAGTATCACGTTCAAAACAGAAATGTAAAAATGCTAACACGTATCCTTGGTAAAGCTATAATCAAGCCCAATAAATCAGGCCTGACACTGAAAGTGCCCGTAGCTCAACCCCTTCTCCTCATTAAAGGATCTGGGACAAGTTGATGGCAACACAGCTCATAGATTATTCATGATTCATGATATTCAGGTTCTGGCAGAGAATCAAAACTCTAATCTCTGGTCGGCATTTCTGAATGCTGGACAGAGCCGAGTTCACCGTTCACACCTGCCTCCAGCCTTTATGCCAAATTAAGTAACAGACATGAGAGTGATATCAATCTGACCTTTGCAAAGAAAGCAAACAAGCCCAAAGTGTTGAGCTATTCCTTTAAGCTGAACACAGATTTTTGAGGGTGATTCATTTTCCATCTTCGTAAAATACACAATTACAGTTATTTCAGCACCAAATTTCAGGCGGCTTCTGAAACAAATAGTTCCTCCCCTTTAATTTCAGTCCAAGCAGGCCTCTTGATTATCTCGCAGAGTAATGAAAACAGTTTTATGTGACTGCTGCATGGCCTTAATTACCATAATAGAGGGAACAACATGAACTAAATGACCCACTACATTGGCTTCCAGCAGACACAGTTTGGTGTTTACTGAGCTCTGGCTGGCTTGTTGACTTATTACGCTGGGCTTCTGCCGGCTTATAGAAAAATAAACACACCGGGGTCATCGCTCGGGCAACTGCCGTCAAGGATACATCACAATTCCCGCCAGCAGCCAGAAGTCGTGTCGACGGTGCCAGATCTCGTTCATCTTCCCCGAGGAGATGGCAGCGCGCTCCTCGTTCTGCCAGAGAGTGTGCAGCTCTGTGGGGTGAAGCCAACACAAGCTTTAAAATGAGGCTGGTCTCAAAGTGCTTAGCTCGCTGAAACCTGGCTGCAGGTGTTTCCACGGCACAGAGACTGACAGACTTTTCTGGGTTTGCGATCAAGGTGGGGATCATTTTTGGCTTTTGTACCGAAGCTCTGGAAAGCAAGGGGAATGTTTTTTGTTTTAGCGGTGGGTTTTATGTTGTTTAGACTGCTTAGTCACTTGTTTGGACAAGTTAATAAGTTATTTTCACCTTTTCACCTTTCTCTCCTCATCTCTCAGGGATTCTACAGGATTTATATTCAAGAAAAAACCTGTCTCAGAGCATGACATTTATGTTTTGAGCAATGCAAAGAGATCTCTGTATATCTAATGAACATATTGAAGTATAAATCATAATTGCACTATTAAGATCTTGCAGCTAGAATCTTCAGAAGCCGATATTAGATGCTTCAAACCAAACAGTCTTCAGGTCTCCCAAAGAGGAACTGCCCAGTGGGGAGCTCCCCCGAGAACTTTATACCTTCAAGAGCTTTTTCTGTTTGCATTTGCACCACCAATAGGAATACAGAAACCTATTTTGCTTCGAGAAGTCAAAATTGCGCTGTATTTGACTCTTTGCATATGCTCAGTAAAGCTTGGACTTCCCTGTCGGCCCATTCCTCCGTGTTTTCTTTCAGTTTTCTTTTACAAGCTGTTGTTTGTGTTGGCTGTTGTTTACACAGCTAGCTGTTTTTTAACAAGCTAGCCGTGCATTTGCCAGTGCGGCATTGACTCGTGTTAAACCAATCAACATACACTTTCGTCACTCACTGTTCCTCTTGTGTTGGAAGAAACAATGGTTTCAGAGCTAAGGTTGAATCCAAATGTCCACCCTCTGGACTTGCAGACTGAGCCCTCGCGGATTTAGTCGTATGTACTGTGACGAGTTCACCGTCATCATGTCAAGTCTGCGAGGGCAAGTTGCTGATAGACGGCCCTTGAAACTGTTTTGCTGATAAACAACTCATCTACTCATCTGTTCCTGCAGAAAACAAGATAAATCCCAAGTATAGCCTTTTTTGTGACTGAACAAAAATGTCTGTCTAAAATAGGCTACACATGTTCAAAAACATAAAGATTTGTAAATCAGGACTTGTTATATCGTGGATTTGGACAGCCCTTAGCACTCCTGGACTTCCTGGGAACGCGCCCATGAGGTCTGCAAGTCGGCAAGTGCGGTTAAGTGTGGACATTTGGAGTCAGCCTATGACAGAGACCATTGATAAACTGAGACGGCCAAATTTAAATTCACTTCCTGTATCTGTGTCGTGGGTTTCGCCACTGCCCCGCCCCATTAGGAAACTAGCAGCGGTCCTGAGTCTATTCGTTCCAATAGGAAAAGTGAGCTTGAGTACAGATTAGGACTGATTACTTTGCCCTATAGTCACTGAAGTAAATGTTGAGCCCATTTTTCACAAGCCCCAACCCTTCTGACACTGAAGTGGCATTTTATCAGACAGAAAAATAAGGAGAAAGTTAACTCTGTTCTAGACATGTCTCTGTTTTAGCAACGAACTCTTGCGAACTCTCGTCAATAAGAGACATTAAGCTAGCAGATAAAAACAAGCGGCAAAATAAGGAACGAACATTAAAACGAAACACCCTTCTCAGTTGTGATCACTTTCACCTTAACAAAAGGTTATTGTTACGTTCACGTCACATCCATAATTACCAGTTTCTGACGTGTAAACCCTTGAATCTACGACATATAAAAGTTGGTGGTAAAAATAAAGAAGTATCTGGGACAAAAAATTTTGAGGATCATTTCATGTTTTGTTCTTCATTCCTTACAGACGAATCTGTTCCTGACAATTGTTTTGCAAGAAAATTATCTTTTTGATTGGTTTTCCATAGCTAGTTGACCCATTAATGGCCAGAATAAATGTTAAAAAAGTAAACATAGATGGTTAAAGTTGTTGAAATGCATCACTTTATGTACACTTGAATGTATTCCACAGCCACTGCAGGTAAATCAGTACTGACCGGTGAAGCCGCCATCTGCGATGTTGAACATAAAGCGAGGGCGCTCAATGGGAGGCCTCCCATTACCCTTGGGTGGGTCCTCCTTCACCAATCTGACTTCTTTCCCAGCATCCTTTTCACCTTTGAGTTCCTCTGTTACAGAGAAAAAAAGATATTTTGTAAAAAAAGAAATGTGCTTACGTATTAATGGCAGCAGACTGTCACAGAGAGTGAAGCGTACCTTTCTTCACGTCAGACACCTCGGTCTTCTCTTTTGCATCTGTCGTCTCAGCTGCTGTTTGTGACTCTTCCCGCTTTTCTTTGTCTTTCTCCTTCTCCTCCGCCAGCTTCTCTCCTTTTGCAGGAAAAAAAACAGAAGCAAGGGCTTGTTGCTTTGCTCCAAACAATCCTGCTTTATCTGTTTGTGGGTGTCAGATTTCATCAAACCGACCGATCAGGTTTCTGTGTTTTTGTTTTTACCTGTTTTCTCCTCTTTGACCTCCATTTCTTGTTTTGTCTCCTCTTTACTCTCCTCCTGTACTTTTTTCTCCTCTGTTGTGGCAGCTGGAGCGTCAGTCGTTTCCTTCTTCTCCTCCTCTTTCAGGTCAGCGTCGTCTTTGCCTTCGGTCTTTTGACTCGGGGACGAACTTTGTGATGTGTCTTTTGTGGAAGAGGAAAGCTACAGAGAGTAACACAGTAAGTTGTCACTCACTGAGTTGGTCTGCTTTGTTGTTGTGCTGAATTTAATTTGTATTCCACCATTTATCGGACGCTACGTAAGTGATCTAAAGAGCATGGTCCAAAGTGCATGGTAGAAGTGCTTTTAGGGCATCTCTATCTCAACTTTTCCTAGTTAAACGTTGCATAATCTGGGCGAAAAATAAGGCACAAGGGCAAAAGGTATTGTGTTAATTCCCTCAATTAATCATAGGTATGTTATAGGCAGTACATGAATTCAACCAATCAGATCGTCGTCTCCCATTCCAAAACTAAAAACTGTAGTTATAAACCTGACCAAGGAAACAGGACTAAACTTTTAGCTTCAGAAATAATCAGTGAAGTTCTGCTGTTCAGCATCTCTTTTAATGGGGAGACAGACAGTGGCTCTGCTCTGATCTCTGCTACGTTCACATTTTAGAGATTGTGTTTGTGTTTTCCTCACTGATGCTGTATTACTTCACCCACCATCCGCCACCCATCAACGCATCCCTGTGTGTGTACTAAGGGGAGTGTATGCGCGTTGTGCACCTGCCTAATGCCTATGAGGGCATATCTTACTATCTGATAATCTCGGCCATTTTGAATTCCATGGTCATTTTTGGTGTTTCCCACGTGTTGTATTTTAATTAACTCCTCCTTCAGATTTCATCGGATTGCCTTCAAAATTGGTTTGTGCGAGGTTGACTACTTTGTGAGCAAAAGTTATTACAAGATCTATGTCATGTTGAGGGGAACACCCGCTGCACAGCGTTGAATTTTGATGTCTCGCCATGAAACAGGAAATTGCTATAACTTTGGAGTGAGTGGTCCAATCTCCACCAAACGCCGGCCCTGAACACATCTCTATGGCAATATAAAAGGCAGGAAAATCCTGCGCCACTAACTCTGGATTAGATATTTGTTGGTCAATGGCTCAGTCCTTTTCTGCTGCCTCAAACAATGCATCTCACCACATGTAATTTCAAGACCTACATGCCCATGGGAGCACAGATGGGTGCAAGTACACTTGCTACTTTCACGATGTGGTTTCTGGCCGTGAAAATGACAACTGAGTCAGTCTGAAGATGGTGTAAGATAAAGCCCATACAGTTTATACAATTAACAGCATATTATATTTGTAGATTATTGTTTATTGTTTATTACTGTCAGGTTTCAGGAGCATATATGTTTTATAGTATATGTTTTAGGGAACTTGTTAAATGTTTAAATGTTTTTAACCGACAGTGTCCCACCTCTTCAGATTCAGCAGCCTTGCTGCTGTCCACCTCTTTCCCCTCATCCTTGTCTTTCTCCTTCACTTTCTCTTTGTCAGACGGGGCCTCGCTGCCTTCCTCCTTGTCCTCCTCCTTCTCTCCCTCCTTCCCGTTCTTCTCCAGCTTGTCTGCTGGAGCAGGGGTCGCTGCACATAAACACATAAAACAAACACACGTGTTACTGTAGCTCAGATTCAGCTGTCTCTGGTGCCCTTTACATGGAGTGCCCCCTGCTGGTAAATGTGATTGTTTGCTTACCTGGCTTTGAGGTGCAAGGTGTGTTATTATAGCTGGCCTCGGGGGTGGGCGTGGCGGTCTTAACAGCGGGAGAGGAGGCCCTGGAGGAGGACTTGTCTACGATGACCTCGGGCTTGAGCTCTGGAAGACTCCATCGTCCGTTGATGTGCTCAAACTCCTGGATCTGGATACACAACACTCAGCAAAATGAAAAAGCTTGGCACGCACTCACTTTACCTAATACCACCTTCTTTAAACTCACCACCCACATGCCCCGCTCGCCTGGCAATATATCATACATTCCCCCTGGCAGAGATAGCAGATCAGGATGTCAGCAGGTTTCAACAAGTTGGACTGAAAGCTGGAGCGAAGATATTTGGATAAATTCGAGTGAACTGGCACAGGGAAGGTGTAGGGTAATCAGAACATCTTTCAAGATGTCATGGTTGATTTCTTCACTTGAAGAAGAGCTCTGACATTTAATTTACGACCCTGAGGACGATATTGTCTTTGTAGTTTGCTGAATTAAAGGCAGCTCCCTGCTACCCTGGCACACACGTTCTGGCTCTGTCTAAATTTATCGAACTACTAGAAGTCTATTTTCAAAGCTTTATCAGATGTTTTTGGGCGGGTGATGGAACCACAGAAGAGTCCTCTTTGAGGAGCTTATTACAAAATTGCAACCTTTATTATGTTTTTGAGCCTGAAGGATAATTCTCCGTTTTATGGTTCAGAGATGTAACATAGCACTTTAAACTACAGAAACTCTTCTGTCGACAAATTTGAGATAAAACGGCGTCCATTCCTGGACTACGCTAAGTCTAAGCTTTAAATCTCCTCATATGTAAGTTGCAGATATTGAGCACAGCGTTAGTTCAGTCAGGACACAATGTCAAGCTCAGCTCACATCCCAGCTACATCAGGTGATCTCAAGCAGCCCAATCAACTGATGGAGCAGCTGATTGATGGAAGGGAGTCAGCTGATAGATCACATGATTCCTTTCTATGCAACCAATTGGCAAATCTCATTCAGGGCGCCCTATTTAAACTGCTCTGGCCTGTCTACTGTTGCTGTTCTGATCCCGGGGGGTCTTTGCGGCTGCTCTCCCTGCCTTAGGCTTTCCATGTAGGCGCATGGAAGGGCAGGGAGGTTTGCTCTCTCTGCCTCAGGCTTTCCTCATTTGCACATGGAAGGGCAGACAGGTGTGCTCTCTCTGCCTTATGCTTCCACGTAGACAAAAAAGGTTCAAAGGTTCAAAGGTTCATTTATTTTCACTCAGTACATGTCTGCACACTACAGAGCGAATTATGTACTCTGGTCCCGATACAATAAAAAAGGCAATAAAAGAGGATAAAAAACACATAAAAACATACAGACGCATGGAAGAGGCTCTTTGCATAGGCCTAGGAAAGCCAGAGGGGCCCCAGAACAGAGCCATACCGCCAAATATAATACTGCAAATGGAAGTAAAGTTTTCTTTGACTTAAGTGTTCCTGACTGAACTATACTTCACATACAACTCAGCCAGTTGCCATCGACATAAGTTCTCTGATGATTCTGCAATTGTTGGCGTCATCACAGAGGAGGATGACAGGGAATACAGAGACCAAGCTACTATCCCTTATGGACAACATGACCCAGCCCATGCAGGACACTTGGACAACACAGGCTGCTTCACTCGCTGTGTGTGAAGGAGAGATACCACAGGTCCTTCCTTTCTGCTGCTGTCAGACTATACAACCAACACTGCTCCCAGTGGACCACGCATACGAAAACCATCATCACTTGTGTGTAATATCTGTATCTGTATACACTACCTGTGAAATATCTACACTTGATACTTGTGATAATGTAAATTCTGCCACTCAGCCTGTCTATTTATTATTATTAGGAGAACTGCAACAATTAGTCATTTAATCAATTAGTGGATTGACAAATATTTTGATAATCAACTTATAGTTTAAGTCATTTCTCATGTAAAAATTACAGAAAATGCTGTTTTCAGCCTCTCAAATATGAAGATTTCCTGATTTTCTCTGTTTTATATAATATTAAACTGAACATCTCTGGGTTTGTCTTGACTTTAAAGGAACAAGGATGAACATTTTTCACCTTTTCCTAACATTTCATAGACCAAATTATTAATCCATTGATCTAGTAAATAATTGGCAGATTCTTTGATAATGAAAATAATCGTTACTTGCAGCCCGACTGTACGTCAGTGTTAATTGTTAGTGGCAGAGTCCGCCATTCCCATGCTGCTTTCTAATGGCCTTCTTACATATGGGGGATTCACAGGAAATGATGCAATAATGGAACAATAAAGAAAATAATAAGAATAATTGCAGCCCTACTGTACATCAGTGTACACTGTTAGTGGCGGAGTCCGCCATTCCTGAACTGGATTCTAATTAGATTCTACGTAAATGCCTTCCTAAACATAACAGATTCACACGAAATGATGCATGTGTGTAATCCTGTGTTGATAATTTTCATTGTTTGTTTTAATGTTGATTGAACTTTATGATGCACATAACTGTACATATTTCTTATGTTTACTTTTATTCTATTCTTGTTTATTCTATTGATGTATATACTGTAGTTAAATTTCACACTTACAGCCTCAGCACAGTGACGATATGTATTTTATTTTTAATATTTTTATATCTTAAGTACAAGTGTTAAACACTGTAGCATAATGCACAATGTATTTTTTTTTTTTTATTTTAATGTACATTTTAATTTTAATTTCATTTCATTTCATTTCATTGATTAATATTTACATATTTCTTTTTCATACTCTTATTCTCACTTCTTATAATTCTCTACTCTACATGAGAGCAACTGTAACAAATCACAATATCCCCTCAGGGATAAATTAAGTATTTCTGATTCTGATTTCTGATTCTGACCTTCTTCTTGACGAGAGACATGACGCCGATCCGGGTGAGGACTGGCTGGCGGCACAGGCCCTCTCTCGGCACGCCATCTGCAAACGTCTCTGCCCCGTCAGCCACCGGCTCGCACAGGTGACGCATAAAGAGAGACACATAAGCTCTGGCAAAGAAGAGGAGAAATATATGATTAAAAGACAGAACTTGAGAAAGATTACATCTGAATCAATCAGTACTGTTTGTCCTTACTTGAACTCCTTCTCAGTCTTGCCCCTGAGGTCTCTGACCAGCCACTGAGAGGAGAAAGCGTCCTGAGACGGCATCCCCCAGCGCATCACTGCGTTCAGGAAAGCCTTTCGCTGGCGTGTATTGAAGCCCAGCACCTACGGAAATGAGAGTATATCTTACAGTATATTTCTCCAGAGTGAAGCTGGCACTATCCTGGCAGTGGAAAATGTATCAGTGCATTGTTATTACTCTGGAAGACTTTAATTGAAAATGTCAGGATGAGAAAACTTAATTCTCCTGCAGACATCCACGTATTTTTCAAACTTTCCAAGGCCTTCTTTGAATAGGTCTGACTCCCTAATAACACTAAAATAAACCTTGAATCCTCTCTTGAACAGTGCGGGCCATTATAATCACATCCACCATTATCATTATGATAAATGAGCTTGGAACGTACGGACTTGCTGGAGATGAAATAGCCCTGCTGCCATTTAGGACCGTCAGACTGTTAGAAAAATATCTGAGTTCAATTTAAACACAAAGCCGACAGATTCCAGTAACATCACAATAAAAAAATAGAATAAATGAAAGCAGGGCCCGTTCCACAGACTTGTACAAACCTCAAGGTTGCCTCCCACTCTGGCGAGAAGAGGAGGCAGAGGTTTATCCTTCTCGTTCCTCAACTGCCGGCGTGACTGTCTACGACCTGCAGGTAACAGGAGGCGACAGGACAGGATGGTAAGGGACCGTACTTTATTTATTAGAGGGGGTGGGTGTCACTCCGTATTTCTTTTGGTCCTTGAGCCTCCCTGAGTGATGGTGAAAATACATGATTTTCCCATCACCATACATAACCAGATTTTTTCAGCCTTAATGTAGGTATTGGAGCCAATTCAACAAGTAAACAGCGTGGAGCGAGCTATCACCAAAGCAAACAGGTCATTTCTCAAGCGAATGGAAACCCTCCTTACAAATTGCATCACTACAAAAGCTGTGTGTGCGCTTCAGCAGAAAATGGGTGCATGACCGCCAACCATCCGACCACATGAAACTAACTAAATTTAATTAGCCTACACCTCACACACACTCCGGCACACACATCGCAATGTCAGTAACTTGACACAGGGAACAACATTAAATTTTAAAAATTTACCCTTTAAGGTTTGAAAGTTTGAGTTCAACGTTGAAAAGAAATTCAGAGTTGAAAAGAAAACGTATATTTTTTTTAATGTTATGCAGACAGGAACGCAGAATTTAGAGGGGTTTTTTTTTACAGGATCTGGTGTAAATGGTTTATTTTTGGTGACATACTAAATGAGACTTGGAGAATAGTGATGTCAGTTTTGTTTAATTTTGTTTTTGACAGCCTAACTCCCATTAACCAGTAACTGACCACTGAATTTTTTCATTTAAAAACTTTGTACTTATCTTTTTTTTTTTTTTTTATTCTTAATTTAATTTTATTTTATTAATTTTTATTGTATTTTATTTTATTTTTCGCGGTACACAAGGAAAAAGAAAGAAAAAAGACAAATATGAGCTCATGGCATGTTTACAAAGTCATGACACATTTTCCTAATTTAAAGTAGAGTGTAATATATGATACATACAATAATCATGTGGAATCTGTCTCATTGACTAAATAAACACACCATTTTCTCCACCGTAATGTAAAATACATGAGGCCTTTCCTCTTAGTCCGGCACTCCATTGTCTCAGCGAACTTAAGCACCACACTTCGAAGCGTTTTCAATTTAGAGAGGGTGAAATTTTAATATATTGTGACGTAAATATTTTGCCTTTTATTTTATTTTATGTTTGCTTCACTGACAAACAGCCAGCTAGCTGTGTTAACGTGGAAACATAGTGACCACAGCCCACCCTCTGGTCTCTACTGGTTAGCTAACATAGCTTTGGTCGCTCTGCACTGTGCACCAGCTGGGTCGTGTGGGAGTTAGCTAGCGGCGCTAATTCAGCAATTACCGCTAACAACATTGTCTCAGTGACAGCCCAGCGTTGCTGCGGTACATGATCCACGGTCCAACCTTTGGTCTCTCTCCAGGTAGTTTGTTAGCACCACTAGCCTTGCTGACACTGCTAAAGGAGCTAACAATGCTAAAGAGGGTGTACAAAATTGAGCAACTGGGAAGACGTGTGGGGACCAGGAGGGTGGGCCCAGTGTTTTCACACACTGTTGAGTTGGGATGGTGTTACAAGCAGTAATCCCCAATATCAATGAGCGGAGCCGCTAGCTAACGTTAGCTAGTACGCAGAGCAGTACTTTATCGGTCAGTACTGCATTCCAGGTAGTTAACTGATTAATGGTTGACTGTTGTAATCCTTGAGGTAAAATAAAGAGATTTTTAAGATGGCAGCCTTCATTGTGCCTTCATAATTTCTTTTTTTTTTTATTTCTGGATGTGATAAATGAGGTAATTGTGTAATTTCAAACCTGGCAGGTTTTGAAGTTCAGAGGGTATTTAAAATACAGCCATTTAAAGATGTATGCCCCTCACTGAAGCCAACATAACAAACACGAGGCCCTCCCCAGTGCATTAAAAATTATTTGACATGCCTTTCCCTGTTTTGCACCACCTGCTACAACCTCGTAAATAACGAAGAGTCCCTGAGAGAAGTACAAGATGTAAGGCGAGGGAGGATTTTGCAGACTTGCAGATTTCTTGAAATTTACAGTTAGCGTTGAGTCAAAATTTCTGACATGTTTGGAGTGTTCTCCTCAAACCGTCTGAAGGTTCAGGGGGGAGGAGGTGGATGGCTGTTTGCATTTTTGGCAATCTAACATGTAGGACTCTGCCAGGCAACTGTTACAACTAAATCAATTTCAACCTGTAATTCAACACAGACCTGAATTTGTGTGTGTGTGTGTGTGTGTGTGTGTGTGTGTGTGTGTGTGCTCCAACAGGCATCTTTCATTGTTTCGTGAGCAGCGCAGCTCTGGTTGATGTCTCTTTCTCCTGCTTACCTTCTGGCCGGTCGTCAAAGTCCTCGTCCTCCTCCTCGGAGCCCACTGAATACTCGGACTGGTTATCTGAAATGTCAGCATGCCACTCTGAAACAGCACATGGTGGTCTGTCAATAGGCCAGGCCCATTCACCTCCACTGTGCAAGCAGTAACTCAAACACAGGACACATCATCTAAAGTCCTGCTAATTCTACAAAGATCATAAGCTTAGAGTAAGTAATAAATCTTGACGATAAATAACAAATGCATTCTTACTTTCAGCAATCATTCATAGGATCATGTGACAGAGGATTTGTTTTTAAATCCACAGTTTGATATACACAGCCTACAGGAGTTTGTCCAGCACCAGGTCCAAACCCAGTCCCTACCTTGGTCTTCCTGTGCAGCGTCATTGTAGTTGACAGGCTTGCGGTTCCTCTTGCCTTTGCCCAGCTTGCTTGCCAGGTCTTCTTGTTGCTGCTCGTAATGATGCCGCAACAGTTTCTCCCAGTAATCCGGATCCACATTCTCCTCCTGTTTGATGATCTCCCGCTCAATCTCCTCGATCTGGAGCATCAGAGAGAATTATTTGCAGACATTTGTCATTCTGTCATCTGACTTAATGTCTCTGAAATAGCATAACTGATTGTGGTTATCTGTTAAATTACTACCACATGCGTACATTCTCAGATAAAGTTAAGTTAAAACTTTCTTTACAAAATTTCCCGCAGAGCTGAAAAAAGGGCTTAGTCATTGAAATCATGACAGAGAAAAGCTTCACTATTTACACATCAAATATAGCTGGGGGTTTGACATAGCACTCTAAAGGCCTTTGCACACCAAGTCCGAAATTTTTGTATGCATTTTTTAAATCTGACAAAAACTGTTGAACACAGAAACCTGGCGCACTGAGTCCGATGCATTTTATTGTTCTAATAGTTACGAACATTCGCAATACAGGACAAAATTAAAAGCCACATTTGCACTCTTGCATCTCTCCTCTGGAGTTATCATAAGTGCTATATCGTAGGCAACTGGACTTGCTTGGGTTTCTTAAAGACGTTTCGCCCCTCATCCAAGAAGCTTCTTCCATTCTTAAGGACTGGTGTGGAGTCGCAGGCTTTAAACCCTGTGTGGGTGTGACCCCTTAGGACCGTTTCATAGTCGACGCACGCAACCATGCAAGCGACACAAGTGACGCAAGCAACGCACTTCCTTTCATAATCAACACATTGAACGCAAGCAACGCGGGCGACACTTGAAATGCAATATGTCACTCGCGCAATAGCGGGTAGCAGAGTCACCGGTACATTCAGGCTAGCTAGTACTGCTATTTTATTAGAGTGCAGGGCACTAGAACTGTCATATAAATGGGTGTGTGCCCGTATGAGTTCGCAAAGTTCTTCCTCCTCACCCGCCATATTTCATACCTGCTTCTTCTGTGAATAACAAAAAGTGGTTAATTTCAAGTACGTCGCTTGCATTACCCCCGCTGGCAATGCATGGTATTACCTGCGTCGTTGCATTGCGTATCAAAAAAAATTAACAACACATTTTGAGACGCAAGCACGCATCATGGTGGCCAATGCGTCTTGATGCGTCCCAATGCGTTCGCGTCTGCGTGCCTTTGCGTCAACTATGAAACGGCCCTTAAGGCCTGAACATACTCGGGCGTACTATTAGCGGAGCGGACTTCGCGAGGAATGTCCGCAGTCATTCGGGCTTTCATAGTCAAGCGCACTTCCACGTTGTAGTTTCCTGTAAAAATGTCCGTGCAAAATCCCCGTGATGTGAAAAATACATGCCGAGCAGTCACTGGTGCGCGGAGCGGAGTCCGTGCGGTCGTAAAATCTGAGCTTTGCGCACACAGGGCTTGTGGACATCTGCGCAGACCTCCGCGGAGTCTGTTCCGCGTACGTTCCACCTGAGTATGTTCGGGCCTTTACAGAGTCTTTGGGGTCACATGTTAGCTCTTAGTTTCAGAGTCGTTAAGGTCACAATGTGAGTCGTTGACCCACCCGGCCATTTTGTGTGTCGTTAGGGTCAGGTGGGACCAGGTGAGAATTGGTTTTAAAGTCGTCTGGGGAGGGATCCCAAGACTGCATTGTAGGTGGATGATAAATGTGTCGTAGGCCACCTCCTGTGTTTAACGACGGTTCGATGTCTTTGTGAGGGAGCTGGGAAGCATCCCCCTCACTAAGGTGACGAACATTGCACACATATAGTAAAGTTGGATGTGTTAAACTAATACAGGAAGTTTTCCTTTGGTTGTTGTTGTGCTTTTATTTTGAACCCTGCTAACTCCTCTTCGTCTCTGAGGTCAACTTCCGGGAGGGCGTGGTTTCATGGAGTGCACACATGAGCCACAGGACTCCAGCTGGCTCCAATAATTACCTGGTTAGTGTAGGAGCAGCGAGGGGAGGGGGTAGAGGGTTTGTTTGAGTTTGGCTTTTGTTTGGTCTTTCGTCAGTTTATTATGTGTTTTGTTTAACCTGTATTAGTCAGCATTTATTTGTATTGTGTGTATGTAAGTATTAGTGGGGTTAATTTGTACATGTATTGTATATAGTATGGTAATGGGGTTTTTGGGAACCTTTCTATGTAATGGTACAGGCCGGGGTAGATATGCCAGGTGAGGAAAGTAGTTTGGGTGTCAGAGAGAGGGGGTCAGGTCTGCTGCCAGAACTGCTGTTGAGCCTGTAAGCCTTTTTTTCCCTTTTTGTAAAATCTTATGCTGTAACTGAAGATCGTGGACATTTTGTGCCTTGCTTATTTTGTATAAGTAAAGAAAAAACAGAGCTCTGAACAATCCCTGCTGGTCATGCTGCTTATTTCCCCTTGTTACATCTCAATCCTGCCTGGTTTCATCCTGTTTGTAAGGGATTACCACCTACGAAGCCTTACAGTCTTCAAGAAACTCAAGCAAGTCCAGTTGCCTACGATATAGCACCGACATCCTCCAGAGTTACTTATAATACGAGAGGCTCAGACATGGAGTTGCACATTTGAGGGTTTACTTCCAAGTAGACCCTCAAATGTGCAACTGCATGCCTGAGTCTCTCTTGTTTTAAGTCTTGTTTATGCTACAGTGTTACCTCCCCGGTGGCTGCCACTCTCTGCAGGAGTCTTGCATTTGGCACTGTGGCTACCTGAAGGGGCTGAGCTCTCCTGCCTCTTTGTTTCTACACTGTTGCTTGCTTTCTGTCTTGTGTGCAGTCCTCATCCATTATTACGTCCACCTTGATTATCATGCACTGAAATATTGCTGTCTGACCCGCTGAAAGTAAGCTATCTTCACTGCTTCATGGTCAAACGAGTCACTAAAGGCTTTTGACAGAAAAATTGCAACAAACTGAACCTTTCCTGAAAACTGTAATAACGCATGAAAGTTTTGGAGGCAGAGTGCAAACATGATTGACGCAAAGTGAGGCCATATGTGTTTATAAACACGCATCAATTTCAGAAAAAAAAATTAAGAGTACTGTTTGCGGTGGAAACACTAGAGTCTAGGTACCATGTCTGAAGGGTTACTTTTGGTTCTGAAGGTACCACACCGAAACTGGGCTTAAAGTCACCAGTCCAGTAGCACCGTCTCTTTAGCATCCAGTCCATCAAAGTTAGACATGGTAAAAAACTCCAAAAGAACCCCAACATACAGTCCAAAATCCCCAAATATTCAGCTCAGTATCACAGAAAACAAAGGCATTTACATTTACATTTATCAACAACAGCATCTGTTGCAGTATTTGTAACATGCTCTCCACCTCCTCCCTCTCACCTTATCCTCCTCTCGGACCATGTACTGGGCCACTTTAAAGGAGCTGAGGTACTCGTTCATGTTCTGGACGTCCGAGTCGTCTGTGGCATCTTGGCTTCGGTCCAGCAACCTCTCAATGGCAACGTTGTCGTAGTGGATCACGCTGCCCTCGTCCTCAACTTTGTCCCCTGAACTATTCTTCATACCTGCCAATTAAAGTCAGAGTTAAAAAGGGGAAATGATTTGTCCTGTTCTTACAGACAAATTCCACATAGAAATGCATGTTGTCAATAAAACCAGAATAAGACCAACTGAGTCAAGACATTTAAGTGTGTTTGACAAAATAATTTCACTCAGGAGAGGAAGTCTGCCTAATCCTCCCTGTCAGAATCAATCCAACAAAATCCCTTGACGATATATTCTATCACTTTACCTTCTACTTCATCCTTGAACAGCTCTTCTGTTCCAAACTTGAGGATGTCGTCCAGTTCCTGTTTGGTCATGGAGCCAGCTTTGGATCCCAGGCCTGGCCGGACCACCAGGTGGGTCAGCATCATCTTCCTCTTGGCCACCTGGGTGATGCGCTCCTCCACGCTGGCTCGCGTCACAAACCGGTAGATCATCACCTTGTTGGCCTGTCCAATTCGGTGGGCTCGACTGAACGCCTGTGCAGAGAGCGATACAGCTGAAACATTAAGTATCTGTAGCACTGAATCCTTACCTCACTCAGCAAATGCCAGTCTACAGTACCTGTATGTCATTGTGAGGGTTCCAGTCAGAGTCGAAGATGACGACTGTGTCTGCCGTGGCCAAGTTGATGCCCAAACCTCCCGCTCTGGTGGAGAGCAGGAAACAGAACTGACAAGCACCAGGGGCTGCGAGCAGAGAGACAGAGAGAGTGTGTAAGATATACAAACAGCCAGTAACATTCAAGGGATAGCTCAGGGTTTTTGACGGTTTGCCTAGTTTGACCGCAGTTCATAAGCAGTGATTGATGTGATTGACAGCTGCGTTAGAGACTCCTCAGCTCTGATTTCTTTCATACTGCCGTGTAGGATTCTAGCAAATGCCATCAGAAGCACTAAGTGGAGGCACAGGAACATGATTTTTTTCCACAGACTGTCTCATGTATTGTGTAGACGTAGGAACCGTTTCAACAAGTACAAAAAAAGGTTATATCATCCAGTATCTCACCATTGAAACGGTCGATGGCCTCTTGTCTCAGCGCTCCTGTGATGCCTCCATCAATTCTTTCATACTTGTAACCTTCATGGTCCAAGAAATCTTCTAGTAAATCCAGCATTTTAGTCATCTGTAAGCGGAAGAGAGAAAGAGAGCTGGTCTAAACCAAAATTTAAATGCTGCATTTTCAAACCCAGTAAAGATTCAGGCCGAAACACAAAACACGCCCATATTATTTTCAATGTACAACCCCACACCGGCGGCGGCTAGATGTGCGTCGGTGCTCCTGGACGCACCGCCCCTGCAGCACTTTACACCACTGTCCAATGTCAAGCCTAGCTGCCCCCAGAGTTAAATGCATTTTCCACCTACTCGCTCTGTGCTTGTACATACTGGCTCTTCTCCTCACCATGGATGCATAAAGAGAACTCTGTTGCTGTCTCGCGTGTGACAGAGACTGGATGACTAGAGACTCGTTGAGGTCAAGAAATATCTAAGCTAAACTACCCACAATCCTGTCATCATAAAGACAATGGCCTAAAAGATGTCCCTTGTTGAGTTTGAGGATTTAGTTTGTATTTTTTCAGAGATGACTTCATCATTCGAAAACCTCAGCAGAAGCTTAAATGTTTAAAAAATGATATTTGCTACAGCCCTACCTGTGTGTGTTTTCATTTACACTCGATTACCCACGCACAGCTGGAATCAATCTGCTGCTGAGCCTTCTGGAGGCGTCATGGGAGTAATTTAACATCTGTGAAGGGAGGTGTCCATCTGGTGTGTGTACTTGCCTGTGCTTAGCATACTGTATTTGTGTGTGTCCATGTGAGTGTGTACCTGTGAGAACACCAGCACTCGGTGCCCCTGCTCTTTCAGTTTCCTCAGCATCTTCTGCAACAGCATCAGTTTCCCCGAGGCCTTAGTGAGGGCCGACCCCTCGTAAGCACCGTTGGGGGTTTTTTGGGCTTCCTACAAACACACACACACACACGCACACACACACATGCCATGAGGAACAAATACATGTCTGCATCTTAACTGTAACTTTAACCATAAACTACATCTTAAAAGTACCAATATGTTACAACAAGCACTACTGAAAATGACCACAAGGTGTCACTGTTTTGCCATTTAGGAGTAATCCAAAGCATTTATTATCAAAGCATTGTCTTTGGCTACAAAGGGGGTATTGTCAAGGATAAGAGTGTGTGTGTGTGTTCTCACCATGGAGGCGACGGGGAAGAGGTAGGGATGGTTGCAGCACTTCTTCAGGTCCATCATGATGTTGAGCAGGGACACCTGGTTCCCTCCGCCTTTCGAGTTCAGAGCCTCAAAGTTCTTGGTCAAAATCAGCTTGTAGTATTTTCTGTTTTTATAAACATGAAGACAAATGAGGACATGATCATCGCAGCGCCGCACACACAGACTAAGATAAACTTCCTTTTTCTCCTGTCCACCCTACATTGTTTCATTTTTAATGAAAACATCCTGAAGACTTTCTGAGGAATTGTCTCACTTCAATATTACTAATTGAAGTTATTAATTTTGTGCTGCAAAACATCAGATTGCTACAACTCCATTTAAACCTTAACAGTTTAGAGTTGAAATAATGGTTAAATGCAACCTTCATGCCTTAAAAAATAAATTAATTAATTAACTAATCTTTAAAAAATGCCCAGTTTTGTCGAGTCATGTCGTGTCTAAAAATGTCCATCATCAGCGTAAATCCACATTTCCCCCCCGAACCTTCCAATGAATGTGTGTCGTACTTCTGCATGGGGCTCAGCTCCACTCTGACAATCAGCTCGGTCTTGGCGGGCATATTTTTGAAGACGTCTGCCTTCAGCCTCCGCAGCATGTGAGGCCCCAACAGGTCGTGGAGCTTCTTGATCTGATCCTCCTTGGAGATGTCGGCGAACTCCTCCAGGAAGCCTTCAAGGTTACTGTACAGAGAGATGGAACTGGGTGAAGGACTGATAATACCCTCGAACATTCTTTGTATGTGACAGTTTTAGGTATACCTGTGTGCATATGTGTGTGTGTGTGTGAGGAGTCGTACTTGAAGCGGTTGGGTGTGAGGAAGTTGAGCAGGTGAAACAGCTCCTCCAGGTTGTTTTGGAGAGGAGTTCCCGTCAGCAGCAGCTTGTGGTCGATCTTATAGTCGTTCAGACGCCTGAAGAACTGCAAAGACAAGAAAACTCCTTCACTGATCTGCAGTTATTTTACATACATGTCTAACAAAATTCAGCTCCAGCTTTAAAGTAAGACAAACTTGCACTATAAAAAAGCCAAAACCTGTCAAGGATACTGTAGTTAATTCAAAAAGAGTGTTGCCATTTGATGGTTTGTCCACCAGAGAGTGCTGACCAGTAAGGCTGGCGTCAACCACAGAGACTCCAGAGGCCTGTACTATGAAGCAGGATTTGGAGTTAGTGAGGTAACTTCAAGGTTAACTCTGGGTTTTCAGTCCTACAAAGCTGGTTCTCTTTTGACCAGGTTTGTAGAAGTGTGTAGTACCGGTTATCCAGACGGCCAAGGTTAGGGTTAGTCACCAGATAATGAAAACATATCCTGGGTGAGTCGACCTGGCGTCATAGTACAGGCCTCAGGTTGACTAAAATTCTACCTACATTTCAACCAATCTATTGGTCAATGGGTGAAAGAAATGCCCACAATGTCCTGAGCGCACTCTACCTGGCACCATTGTGTCTCCACCAAAGCGGCTATTTCCTGAGGCCAGCATATTTGATAATTCTTTGCACTGGGAGCGCCGCATATTTACACTATGCTACAATCACCAGCAGCATGACGGGGTGCTGAGCATCTTTTTAGCACTTAGCACTGCACGTTTGGAGTTTGAAAACGTCCAACTTCGGGTTAAACACTGCACTTGTCACTGTCACTTTTTACCCAGCTGTCTAATTACAATGGAGGGGCGGGACAAATACAACAAAGACCAACCGTCACATCATAAATGTACAAGCACAGAACGACAACAATAGAGCATAAATTAATACTGAACCCACACAGATTAGCGGGTCCATCCTCCCCAATAGTCGAGAAAATGTTTGTCGACCAGAAAGGTTAGTAGTTGGCAAGATTTCATTGGTCGCTTAGTCGAAGAAAAAGAAAATAACTAACAAACGTGAAACTCTATAAGGATCTGCACCAAAACCTATATGACTGGACCATGTGAGAATTTAATTTGAAAGGACAGACACAGGAAGTGTCCATGCTCAGGTTAATTTCCAGGGCTGGTACCTGCGGTTATTCCACAGGCTAGTTAATAACATGTCGGGCAGGAAATCCAAAGTGTGGGATCACTTTGAGAAGGTGAAGGACGAACCCAAGGTGATATGTAAACTCATCTTCATTGGTCGACTACAAACATGACGTATCATCTGAAACATGGAAGTAGCTACATGCCCATTAGCCCACAGCGTCATTAACAGGCGGCTCGCTCAGTGTGTGACGTGCACTTGTAGATAAAATATAGGCCTATGTTAATGAAGGTTCATTAGTACGGTTTTGTATTTCTCTGTAATGTAGCTCAGTGTTAACAATGTTACTGATACTATTCTTTCTCACACCTTCAACTCAAATTATATCATTTAATAATTACGTTAATATCGTAAACGTGCAGGCAACTAGTCGACTAATGGTCTTAAATGACGACTATTGGTCGACGAGGAAAATTCTTAGTCGAGGGCAGCACTAATCCAATACTCTATCTTGTACCTACATTTTTACTTCCGCGGATATTCCGTTTCATAGCAACCAGATGCAACCAAATTGTCTCAACAAAAATGCTACGCCTCCAATGTGCTCTAGCTCTCCCAGCTGGGCATTTCCTGACAAGTGCTGGGTGTTTTCAGCTGGGAAAAACACACATGCGCGAAATGAACTACACAGCTCTTTTACCAATGAGAAGTTGGTCCAACAAGAGCATAGCAACCAACCACGAGGAAGTTGTCAGCCCTACTGACCAGCATTTTTTACAACTGTAAGATCTCCCTCTCAGTACATGTAAGGGTCACAATCCTTTAAAAATGTGAGGCCTTTTTATCAAAAATGTAATAAACTGTTTAGTGCAGTAGTTCCCAACTGGTTCAGCTACAGTCCAGTTTAACATATTCGGCATCATACGTGTTATTGGCCATGTCTGCTGTCTCTGTCAAGTAGCTGCCTGTTAGTCACTCACTCTACAGCAGAAAATGGTACTTCAAAATAAAAGCTCTGAGCTGAAAATTTACAGTACTGTACTAAAGCGTTGTTTTTTCAAACTTGACACGTTTGCGAGTCACTTGCAGTCCATTCAGAATGGACCTTTGACCCACTTTTGGACCGCAACCCACCACTTGAGAACCTCTGATTTAGTAGGGTTTACATTAACATTGACACACATTAGCTCCAGTACCTTGGACTGATTGTTCTTGAGGCGGTGGGCCTCGTCCACCACCAGACAGGCCCAGTCGATGGACTTGAGCGCCGTCTGGTCGATGGTCACCAACTCGTAGGAGGTCAGCAGCACGTGGAATTTGATGGGAGCCTCTCTCTGCAGGGAGACAAAAGAGAAAGGATTTTTTAATTATATAATTCTGTTCTTCTAATTCTTAATATATGTGTTTTTTTTAATATCATTATGGCTGTTAATGTTTATGGTAACAGGTTTAAATTTGGCAAGCTAATTTTTCGAGTTATGGTTCAGATCAAACTTGTCACTCAAAAACAACTAATAAATAATGAGAGTTTTGAGTTACATTTTTCCAAGACCTATCAAGGATCTTTAAAATCAATAACATGATTAGATCAAATAATTACTTCGTGACTTTCCTTGTCATCGTCTATCATCCTCATATTTAATTTTAAGATTTTGGCCCTCTCCCTCCTCACCCTCAGTTTGAAAGCCTTCTTCCCTCCTTTGACGGCCGTGTCATCGAAGGAGAACTCATTCTCTCTGATGATGGCTCGGCTGTCCTTGTCTCCTGTGTACGTCACCACGTAGAAGTCGGGCGCCCACATCTCAAACTCCCTCTCCCAGTTGATGATGGTGGAGAGCGGAGCACTGACCAGGAACGGACCCTTAGTGTGGCCCTGGGGGACGGAAGAGGAAGAACAATTCATACAGTCTTTTCAGTGAAACGAGACAACAGTAGGACCAAAGGGGCTCCTGTACCTCTTTGAAGAGTGAGTAGAGGAAGACGATGGTCTGGATGGTCTTGCCGAGGCCCATTTCGTCTGCCAGGATGGTGTCTGTGCCCTGAGCCCAGGAAAACCGGAGCCAGTTCAGACCCTCCAGCTGGTACAGGTGCAGCGTCCCACCTGTCGATGTTACAAAGTCGGGCTGTTCCTCATATTTTATTGTAGGCTGGAAGGAGAGAGCAAAGAGGTGAGACCTTATTGGGACACAGTTCATTTTATATTTAACTCATATGGTCATCTGCTCCAGACAGGTTACCGCAAGTGTTTAAATTAATCACTCTGCTACATGTAGCTACATGCTAACATCTGGATAACACATAATCTTGGTTGCCAGTGTCGTTAACTTCTCCCAAATTTCACATCATATTCCTGCAGGAACATGTCTGGTTGTGTACATTGTTTTGGTTTAGAAGCTTTAATGGGTGATCTTTCATAGTGAAAAGTGATGGTATACACCATTACAGTCATTCCCCAGCTGCAAATATACTGCTACATGTAGCTACATGCTAACTTCAGGGCAACATGTAATCTTGGTCGCCGATGTTGTTAATTTCTCCCCAATTTCGGATGATATTTCTGCTGAAATATGTCCACTTGAGTTTGGACAGTAGAAATTGTCGCTATACTCAGTCATTCTCTGGCTCCAAGCGCACTGCTACATGTAGCTACATGCTAACATCAGCAAACCAGGTGATCTTGGCTGCCAATATTGTTAATTTATTCCCAGTTGTGAATCATGTTCCTGCTGAAACATGTCCGGTTGTGTTTAGAAGTACCTTTCAGTGTAGAGAGCGCTGCTTTACACCATTACAGTCATTCCCAAGCTGCAAATACACTGCTACATGTAGCTACATGCTAACATCAGGGAAACATGTAATCTTGGTCGTCAGTGATATTAATTTCTCCCCAATTTCGGATCATATTCCTGCTGAAACATGCCCCCTTGGGTTTAGAAGCTAGTTAGTTTTGTTTGACAAGATAAAACCAATCCACTTAACAAACGTTTGAAAAATGACTGTATATTTCATTGACCTGATTAATATACACATAAAGAGAATATGGTTCCACCTTGTAAGAAACAGGTAAGATGAATAGATTGCATAATAATACTTAAAATTTAATCATCAAAAATAAAAGCAATGCCCCCATTTCCAAACAATTTGGTTGTCTTTCTAAACCTGACTGAAGCTCCAGAGAGTCAGATGGAAGAGTTGGTGTAAAATACCAACAGGAAGCAGCTTGAAAGACAAAATAACTGAAACTAGAGTTAACTCACATCAGTGACTGGTGAAGCAGGAGACTCCTCTTCACCCTCCTGGTTCCTGCTCCTTATCCTCCTGGGTTTGTCTGGATCCTCCTTCATTATTGCATCTCTGTTGGACAGAGAAATATCAGTGACTATGTTTTCATGCACACCAATATTACACTATTATTCCAAACAGAACAATACTTCAAATTTGATAATGACCATTTAATGAGCATATTCCTATTCCTAACTATGTAAACAGCTTAGTAGGAATATTGTCTTCATCAGAATAAAAACCAGAATATTTTGTCAATGTTAACACAAAAATAAACAAAACAAGATGTGTAAATACAAGAAATAAATGTTGAAGCTGAACTATGCACTGACCTACAGTAGGTTCCCGTACTTTCGGGTACCCTCGAGTCTCCTGATAAACCTCTAACGTAATGAAAAAAAAAAAAAAGCTGAAACAACATCATCACTGCAGTCATTTTGAAAACAACTCGACAGTACTGGCTGTAAAAAAAATAATAAAAATGGTCTGTTTTTTCCCATAATGACGTCAGTGGTGGTGAAATATGCTTCCAACACGTCCTACCTGTGTCTCCAGTAGTTTGCCTTGTAAATTGCGAATTCAGGGATGTCCATGTCGTCTCTCTCCCAGGTACACTGGTCGTAGGTCAGGTCTCTCCATTTCACCAGGTAGTGGTACATCCCCTTTTTATCCACACTGGCACAGAGACACACACATAACAGTGAGTGCTTGTGTTATGTGTTTGAATGTATTCGGATTTTGTAAACCACCATTTTGTACTACAACAGTACTGCGGTGTTAAAACACTCTCACAAGTGTTCACAAACAAATGTCAAGTCACTGAACTCAAAACACACAAATAAATGCGGTGATCTGAATCAGTAACTCATCATTTGAAAACCATAGAACTTCAGTTAATATCCCAGAGGCTGGTTGTACAAAAACACCTTAAGCTTTCTCCTTAAGTATGACACTTAAGGCTTAATTCCTCCTCAACTAAGGGATTTACACAGTTGCACAGAATCCCTTGAATAGTTGTCTTTGTTAAGGAAAAACATTCAGTCATTTACTGTGTTAAAAGAGATTTTACAGCAGCAAAATTTTCCATGGAAATTGTTTGTTTGCTGGGACTCACACTTGTGACGCCTGCTATCGTCTCACAAAGTTGGCTTATAGTTAGGTAGTGAAAAAATGACAAAGACAAGAAAACCATATTGGTTAGAGGAGGAGAAGATCAAACTTTTAGAGGAATACAGTCATAGAAAGCACAAACTACAAAGTAAATTTGATCCCCAAATATCAGAAAACGATTGTCGGAGGAAACTGCAATGAGAATTAAATCCATAGTATTAAATTTAAAAGTGTATCCACTGGGCTCTCCTGGTCACAGAACACTTTTCTCAGGATATGTTAGTTTTTTCATTTATCACCATAATCTCAGTCACTTTGCAGTCAACCCTCCAGTCAAACCTGGAGCGACATCACTTTTTTGAACCTTTGAATCCCGAGCACATTGGTTTGATTTATTTCGAAATACACGAGAAGAAAGGCAATGAGCAATTCGGCAAGAAATGTTCCGTAAACTGCGAGACGTTAGTAGATTTGTAAATTATTTTTAAAAAATCTATGGAAAAAATATGCATAAATATGTATTTTAAAATTATGTTACAAATTTGTTATCATTTTAAGCACTTTTTTAAGATTATGCCCTTATTTGAGTTTGTTTTTTAATTTTTGTGACTTTTTTCTCTTATTTCTTGCTATTTTTATCTTGTTATTTTTTGCTAAATGCCTTCTTCCTATGTTTTTGAAAGAAATCAAGTCACTTTGCTCAAGTTTCAAAGCGTTAAGGTAGAGTCAGAGGTACCTTAAAAATATTTTTACCTGAATTTGGTTTTTAATGTCTTTTGTGCAACGGTCAAGGGATTTCTTAATTATAAGACCAAGACAAGAAGAAAACCATAAATACTTAACATTTTAAGGAAACCTTAAGGGTGTTTTGTGCAACTGATTTCATTTTGAGGAAACCTTTACGAGGACTTTAAGGAAAGTATTAACTTAAGGTGTTTTGTGCAACTGGCCCTCGGCTTTTATTTGCTTCAGTCACTGAATTCAACCAACGTACACTTGGGACAGGCCTTTAATTCCTTTCACATAAAGCTCCTGTTTATCAAAAAAAGACAGAAATATTATCAAATTTCTTATTTAAACAAGTGTGAATATTACTAGTATAAAAATGATCCTATCAAATAATATCATTTATAAATCATTCATTTGATCTGGCCTAGAGAGACGGCACATCTAGGTCCAACCTCATGAGCTGAAAGAGAGAGTTACACTGTCAGTTTAAAGCACCCAGCATATCAATACTTCTGTTTATCCTGTTAAAACAATATTCAAAACTTGAACTAATTTTTATGAAAAAAAAAAAATCTTAGTTATTTCAATAAGTGGACCCTTATGGACTAAAGGCATATACATAACTGAGGAATGGACATATATTCAGACTTCAGATGAGGTGAATCACCAACTTGTCTCATATCTAGTTTACCATAACGGTAAATTTTTATTAATTATCTTTTGGTGCTCATGGTCTTAGTAGAATAAACTGAATAAATTAAATGAGCTAATAATGTGTAGCATGTCCATACAGACATAGTGTAAATATTTTTATTTGTATGCATGATGTGAGCAGCTAATGTTAGCTCAAAATTCACATGCAAGGAAGACCATATGCTCTCCACTAGATGGCAGTAATACAACATTTATGGATGCCAAACGCTGTTATTGTAAACAGAAGAAGAAGTGCTGCCACTAGTGCATTGTGTTTTAGGAGTTACATTTGTTCGTGAGTACGTATGAGACCGTTTTAACCTCTTACAACAGACCAAAAACAAAATCCTGTTAACTGAAAAATAGTTAATGGCAGATGTTAATAAAGATAAATAAATCACACTGGCTTGGATTGCATTATAAATTAATGACAATACACTCAGGAACTGACGACACCACATTTCAAAAGCCCAGACACTGCGTTCTAATGCTCACACACAAGCCTCACCTGTGGTTGATGATGCGGTGGATCATCATCCACTCAGGCTTGATGCCGTATCTGTAGTACTTGTCTTCCAGCATAGCGTACTGGGGGTCCTTGGCCCTCCTCTTCTCGCTCTTCCCCACTCCGTTCTCGTCCTCTGCGCCCGACCCGTAATCCAGGCTGGGAGGCTCGTCCATGTCCGTCTTCCTCTGGTAGTTTCTGTACATCACCGAGTGGAAGATCTCCAGCTGGGAGGAGGAAGGAGAATAGGGACAGGAAGATGAGGATTGGGAGAAAAGTTCTGAGCAGTTCTACACTCGATGTGACCGTCACTTGAATCCTTTCTGTCTCACCTGCAGCTCAGTGATCCAGGTACAGTGCCAGTACGACTGCCCGGTCAGCTTGACAAAGAACTCCCTCTCGGCTCGGCCCTTCATGGGAGGCGGCAGTGGGGCATCAGGCGGGGCATCAGGAGCCGGGGGGACAGGGATGGGAGGCGGAGGTTCACCCCATCGCCAGTGGAGGATCTTCTGGACACGTCCTTTGATTGGCGGACACTAAAGGAGGAATACTAAGAATAGTTAATCCTAGGAAGTGTGAACGGATCCTGTGTTTGCAGTCAAACAGTTGGTTAGGACTAAGACTATTTATTTAGTAACACTCAGCTGAATCTGTTTGATACATCTGTATATTTGGGCCCCTGCTTATCCGGGGCTGGGTCGCGGGGGCACCCCAGAGCACCCCAGACGTCCCTCTCCCAAGCAACGCTTTCGGGCTCCTCCTGGAGGACCCCGAGGCGTTCCCAGGCCAGATGAGATACGTAATCCCTCCATCATTTTCTGGTCTGCCCCGGGGCCTCCTACCAGTGGGACGTGCCCGAAACACCTATAACGAGAGGTGCCCAAGAGGCATCCTGATCAGATACCTGAACTACCTCAACTGAACCTTTTCGATGCAAAAGAGCAGCGGCTCTACTCTGAGCTCCCTCCAGACATCCAAGCTCCTTACCCTATCTCTAAGGCTGAGCCCAGCCACCCCACGGAGGAAACTCATTTCAGTCACTACCCAGAGTTCATGACCATAGGTGAGGGTTGGGACATAGATGGACCAGAAAATCGAAAGCTTTGCCTTCCAGTTCAGCTCCGTCTTCACCACGATAGTTGCGCCTGCATCACTGCAGAAGCTGCACCAAACTGCCGATCCATCTCACGTTCCATTCTGCCGCTGGGGGGACGAAGGGGTCTGGTCTGGGAACCTCAGAATTGCATCTCTGCTTTATGCAGATGATGTGGTTCTGTTGCCCTCATCACACCATGACCTCCACATTTACACATGCCCATGAAATTGTCTTTATCTAGGACACATTTAGCTTGGAATACATTTTCTCTCAAGTGTCTTGAATCTACCTTCTCATACATTTCAATATTCGATACATTTCAATTTCTCTTATGTCTAAAATTTTAATGGCAGCTTTGGTATTTTTCAACCTTGAACCTACTTTTTAATATTTCTCACCGTGCAGCGCGGACAAAGCCACTCTCCATTGGGGATCTCCGGCAGCGGCGGGTTGAGACAGTGGATGTGGTAGGAGGAGGTGCAGGTGTCGCAGCACAGCAGCTCGCCTCCATCTTTACACACCCGACAGAACTCCATGTGGTCGTCATCCTCCTCATCCGCCCCGGTGTGGACCCCGACTCTGACCTCCGATATCACCCTGTCCTCGCTGTCCTCCTCGAAATCCTCAAAGTCCTCGTCCTTTGCTTCCCACTGGATTCCCTCTTTTTCCTGGGGAAGGAAATAGTTCATTAACTGACTGACATGTCAAATATATATAAATATATGTTTTGACAGAATTTTGACAACGACAAATATCCTGTTAGGGGTTGCTTGTGGACTTGGGGACTTGGGGTCTATCCCAGCAGACAGTGGGCGAGAGGCAGGGTACACTTTGCACAGGTAGCCTGGCTTGGCGTGGTTTGGGATTTCAACTTCACACAACTTCTAATACGGCTGATAGCGAACATGAAACAGTACAAACAGGACGCAGGAGAGAAACTAAACTCCAAACCACAGAGATTCACTTAGACGCTACAGACGTACTGAGAGCTGAACACACAGAGACTTTTAAAAACGCCTTTCTCTCTGGTCTCCTGCAGATACAGGTGAGGAGAGTCTCACAAAAACACACGCTTATTTTGGGGGCAGAACGGGGGATCGTCACCGCTACTCGCTTGAGGGCTTTTCGACCTACTCCTGAGAAGGTCCATCTCTGGCGCAGCTTAATATGTCAAGGCGCGTCTAAACTGACAATGGAAACACAAATTGGAACAGGCATGGCTTTACTCTGTGCGGCCAAGAGTGACAATTGAAAAAGGGGTCATCAAGTAACTTGCATGTCTTTGGATTGTGAGAGGAAATTAGAGTACCTGGAGAAAACCCACACTGACACGAGGAGAACATACAAGCTCTACACAGAAGGGCTGCCAAACCCTAGGTCCGAACCAGGAACCCTTTCACTGTGAGGTGACAGTGCTATCTGTACCACCATGCCGCCCCATTTTATTTTCATGGTATTGTATCTAAATTTGAAATGCCAGTATCATGACAACACTAGAAGGATAAGCAGAATCAATAATGACTTTGGTGTCAATTAAATCTTATCATTTCCCATCCCTAATACCTGACTTTAGAAACACTATTCCAGTCAAGAGCATGTCAGAGATGTGATCTTGTCTTCTTGTGCACCCCCTGTCCATCCCTCTCCTTTTCAGCTGCAGAGAGTCTCATTCACGCGTTCGTCACTTCCAGACTTGATTACTGCAACAGTCTCCTCTACAGTTCATCATCCAAAACTCTCAAGAAACTACAATACAAATACAAACTCCTCTTCCTCATCACCTATAAAGCCCTCCATAACCTGACTCCCCTCTACCCATCTTAGCTACTCCACCGGTACACTCCCTCCTGCACTCTCAGGTCTGCTGATCCCAACCTCCTGCCTTTCTCTGTGTTATTAGGTTGCCAGCACCTGAACACAACTCCACCTAACACCTCTGCACTCCACATTTAACTCACAGTGATTCATTGAGCTGACTTATTTTACTTGTTTCAGTATAAAGACAGTTATCTGTGTCATGGTAACCGAAAAATGAACATTGGGTTTAATTTGTGACATGACTGAATAGATCTACATCCACAGCACCACTTCAGGTATCAGTCTTTGCCTGGACAGGATTGTGTTCGTCTGAATTCAGCCAGCCTTCCGCTGAGATTTGTGACGCAGCTACAAAGCCTCTATTCATCTGCAGCTCAGAGCAAGTAAAAACAAACCCACTTTTAACTGTCTTTTCTTTTTCTCACTCAGCCTTGCCAAGTCGATGCGTCACTTCAAGATAAATACAGTACAGGCCAAAAGTTTGGACACACCTTCTCATTCAATGCGTTTTCTTTATTTTCATGACTATTTACATTGTAGATTCTCACTGAAGGCATCAAAACTATGAATGAACACATGTGGAGTTATGTACTTAACAAAGAAAGGTGAAATAACTGAAAACATGTTTTATATTCTAGTTTCTTCAAAACAGCCACCCTTTGCTCTGATTACTGCTTTGCACACTCTTGGCATTCTCTCCATGAGCTTCAAGAGGTAGTCACCTGAAATGGTTTTCCAACAGTCTTGAAGGAGTTCCCAGAGGTGTTTAGCACTTGTTGGCCCCTTTGCCTTCACTCTGCGGTCCAGCTCACCCCAAACCATCTCGATTGGGTTCAGGTCCGGTGACTGTGGAGGCCAGGTCATCTGCCGCAGCACTCCATCACTCTCCTTCTTGGTCAAATAGCCCTTACACAGCCTGGAGGTGTGTTTGGGGTCATTGTCCTGTTGAAAAATAAATGATCGTCCAACTAAACGCAAACCGGATGGGATGGCATGTCGCTGCAGGATGCTGTGGTAGCCATGCTGGTTCAGTGTGCCTTCAATTTTGAATAAATCCCCAACAGTGTCACCAGCAAAACACCCCCACACCATCACACCTCCTCCTCCATGCTTCACAGTGGGAACCAGGCATGTGGAATCCATCCGTTCACCTTTTCTGCGTCTCACAAAGACACGGCGGTTGGAACCAAAGATCTCAAATTTGGACTCATCAGACCAAAGCACAGATTTCCACTGGTCTAATGTCCATTCCTTGTGTTTCTTGGCCCAAACAAATCTCTTCTGCTTGTTGCCTCTCCTTAGCAGTGGTTTCCTAGCAGCTATTTGACCATGAAGGCCTGATTGGCGCAGTCTCCTCTTAACAGTTGTTCTAGAGATGGGTCTGCTGCTAGAACTCTGTGTGGCATTCATCTGGTCTCTGATCTGAGCTGCTGTTAACTTGCGATTTCTGAGGCTGGTGACTCGGATGAACTTATCCTCAGAAGCAGAGGTGACTCTTGGTCTTCCTTTCCTGGGTCGGTCCTCATGTGTGCCAGTTTCGTTGTAGCGCTTGATGGTTTTTGCGACTCCACTTGGGGACACATTTAAAGTTTTTGCAATTTTCCGGACTGACTGACCTTCATTTCTTAAAGTAATGATGGCCACTCGTTTTTCTTTAGTTAGCTGATTGGTTCTTGCCATAATATGAATTTTAACAGTTGTCCAATAGGGCTGTCGGCTGTGTATTAACCTGACTTCTGCACAACACAACTGATGGTCCCAACCCCATTGATAAAGCAAGAAATTCCACTAATTAACCCTGATAAGGCACACCTGTGAAGTGGAAACCATTTCAGGTGACTACCTCTTGAAGCTCATGGAGAGAATGCCAAGAGTGTGCAAAGCAGTAATCAGAGCAAAGGGTGGCTGTTTTGAAGAAACTAGAATATAAAACATGTTTTCAGTTATTTCACCTTTCTTTGTTAAGTACATAACTCCACATGTGTTCATTCATAGTTTTGATGCCTTCAGTGAGAATCTACAATGTAAATAGTCATGAAAATAAAGAAAACGCATTGAATGAGAAGGTGTGTCCAAACTTTTGGCCTGTACTGTATGTGAATAAGGATGCTGAGCAAAAAAACACAGACGTGGTCCTGTACTCACGCAGTGCGGGCAGCTCCACTTGCCCTCGGGGGCCTTGTCCAGCTCGGGCTCGAGGCAGACGAGGTGGTACGCTCGGGGACAAGTGTCGCACAGGATGATCTCTCCGCCCTGCTGACACACCTCACAGTAGTCCTGATGATCCGTCTCGTAGCCGTCTCCCTCCTCTTCACCTTGGACTGCAGGGCGTGAGACAAACACAGAAAGATGTGTGAAACATGTCGCGAATTATTTCGGGTTTTTTCAAGAGGATTTGTTTGAGGTACTTAGGTATCAGGTAGGTAGGTAGGTCAGGTACATAGTCAGAGTGTTACCTACAGTAGATGGCAGTCGGTACACCCCCACTTTGGAGGAGCAGAGAGGAGTACCGCCACAGAAGCTAAGCAATGTACTGCTGTGGACAGGGCAGCAGCTGAACGTATGTTAGCCACATATAACAATCTATATCACTTCAAGTCTAAACTATATTTAGAATATTTTCACTGCTTTACCTTGGCATCAGACATCCCTTTTAGACAAAGAACTGAAGCTGTTAACAAAAAACTAGTGGCAATAAAGGCCAACTGTTTCATTGCTTCACGCTGCCTATGTCACCTAAAAAGGTGCATTTGAACACACTGCAAAGACTACAGCCAACGACCAACGAGCACGTATGTTTCCCACCTGTGTATAAGGACTCTCCATACGCTCAGGGACAACTAATTTTCTGTAACCACTTATCCTTATACTGGGTCGCGGTGTGCTGGAGCCTATCCCAGCTGACACTGGGCGAGAGGCAGGGTACGCCCTGGACAGGTCACCAGACTATCACAGGGCTGACACATAGAGACAGACAACCATTCACACTCACATTCACACCTATGGACAATTTAGAGTCACCAGTTAACCTGCATGTCTTTGGACTGTGGGAGGAAGCTGGAGTACCTGGAGGAAACCCACGCTGACACAGGGAGAACATGCAAACTCCACAAAGAAGGTCCCCAGTCGGTGGATCCAGACCCCGAACCCCCTTGCTATGAGGCGATAGTCCTTGTATTTGTCATCCAAAAAGTTAAGCCAGAAGGCCAACAGGACTGATTCAAGATGCTAGTTAGCCAGTTAGCACATTAACAACACATCCCAATGTTGAAGGAACAAATGATATTTACTGTGCGCTAACGGACAATAATGCAAACAGTTTCGAACCGTTTCTGCTAACGAGCTCAATGGCTACAAAAATAATCTTACCTAGTATAACAGGTTTGTTTCGATCCACAGCATCTTGCATGGATGTATGACTTAAGCCGTTTGTTTACTTGCCTCACTTCCATTTCTCATCTTGTGCACTGAGTTGAACAGCCAATCAAAGTGATTTCATTCATCAGCAAGCTCAGACGACATGCTGAATCAGCTGAAAAACAGCCGACAAGGGCTGACCAGTGCCAACGATGTGGGACACACCACAAAAACTAGGGCAATATACTCTGATCGACAGGCAACTGTTGGCTTGGTGTGTCAGTGCCCTTACCTCGCTATAGCTGAGAGCTGCTGGTCTGCTGCTGCCATGATCAGCTAGTTAGTTTGTGTTACAGTGTGACTTTGGTGAATCTGAAGTAACCCTTTAAAACCCCAATGACACACAATAGAGCGGGAGACAAGCAGCTCCAAATTTCTGCGAGGTAAATTACTGTTTTTGTCGATGTAGTCTGGTGGCGTAGAAGAGAGCATAGGTAAATAACATACACTTAAACTGATGTACTGCAGTACTTGTCTTCAATGCTAGTACTCCTGCCTGCTTCTCCAAACTGGGGGTCATGCCAACCGACATCCACTTCAAAAAATCCAAACTACACTATAATACAGATTTGGCATACTTCATCTATAATTATATATAATACATATAATGGACAGGTTGTGATTGTACTTGTATTTTTCTTCTTCTTCTTGGCAGGCCGTCCTCGCTTGTTCTTCTTAACACGGCCGGAGCTGTCGGAGCGAACCGAGGAGCTGTGCACGCTGGAGTCCTCCTGCTCGGACTCATCCTCGTCCATGTCCTCGCTCTGACAGAGAGCAAAGAAAGGGTCAAGGAAAGAAGAAACAACAGTAAACAGGTAACAGAATTGGAGGACGAAGAAGCTGGAATGGAGACAGAGAGAAGCTTTGTACTCACTGAGCAACTCTTCTTCCTCTTGGCACCTATAGGTGATAGTTTGATACGAATGGGTGCCATCTTTTTCGCCTTTGCCAAGGCCTTTTTCTTTTCTGGGACTCGAGGGCTTTTACTGCGCTTCTTGTAGCCAGGGCCTGGACAGATAAGATCATAAGATGAATGACAAGGCAGTGAGTAACACAGGAGCAAGAGTAAATAAGGTCAGTTTGTTGTCTTATAGTGACGCTAATCCTGGGTCTTTCTACATAGGTTCTTAAACTGAGCGACTTGTCACTGCCTCATATTTCTTTACCCCTGGTGGATTATGGTGATCTTTTATATATGCACACCTCTGCTTAGTGCCTTCATATGGTTGACACAGCTTACAATGCTTCCCTGAAGTTCATTACCACTTGTAAAGCTCTGACTCACCACTGTGGGTTATACTCACTGGGTAGCAGCCTGCTTCTGCTCTGTCACTGGCACACCTTTATATACAGTATATAAGGCATTTCTTGGACTGCTCTCACACTACCTATGTGTCTTTATCCCACAGTAAAGTGACAGGACAGGACTATTTGCACTCTCAGGACTTCTTTATACGTTCTGTTCCCTATGGCCACAGAGAAATTGGAAAAAGGGTATTTGTGTATTCAGCACCCTCGGCTTGGCACACTCAATTAATCTTGTTACACACTTTTAAGATCCAAATGGAGGAATTAAAGGCAGATTCCTCTTAATGTAGTCACTTTTTGTGTTTTCTGTTTGTCGCTATGTGCTTTTATTTATGCTGCTGCCTGCCTCGGCCAAGTCTCCCTTGAAAAAGAGACAGTAAAGGGATAGTTCACATCTTTTGAAGTGGGGTTGTATGAAGTTGTCGATTTAGAGGAGCAGGCAGGAGTACCACCACTGAGGCTATTCAACCCAGCTGGCACCAGCTGACTCTTACACTGGACAGATGTTAAATTTTGGTTGGACGTTAAAATTGGGTTGACAATACTTTAAATGTCTGACGACGTTAGAATTTCACATTGTGTGGACACTAACATCGTGACGTTTTGCATTTTGTGACACTGGGTTTTGTTCTCTATACCTAAAGGGTAGTTCACATTACACAATTTTCACCGTGATTTTGACGTCGCAGAGGATCTTAAGAGCCACCTTGGGTCGGAGGTGAATCATCAGATAGTCCTCGTGTGCCTACGAGCAAGTCGTCCCCTTGTCTGTGACTGGGACTGGATATCTGGCATGCTAGAAAACTGGAGAAGTCAGACACGACTGACTGTCCCATGTCAGCACGCAGGAGGACGGAAGAAGTGTAAGGAGGACAAGCCGAGCCGGCAAGCAACAACAACAATGGCGGAGTCCACAGGGTCACGGGGAGCGCGTTGTGTTTGGACCCAGGCCCTGGAGGCAGATCTGATTCAACACTGGGAAGAATATCCATGCCTTTACGATGTGTCGTCAGTTAAAAAACGTAGTTTGGTGACGTCACCGCATTATCTGGGGCTCTGTCGGCGAGGGCTCGGTGGAGAAATCTTGTGGTGTGCACACAAAGGGTCGAAACGCAGTTGGCGAGACTCCCGATGACAGAAACACTCGTCGCCAAGTATGAACACTCAAAAGATGATGATAGTCTCCGTGACGCAAAATCGGGGTGAAAATCGTGTAATGTGAACTAGGCTTTACGCGTAAATGTTACTCTGCGTCAATTTGACGTTGGCAACAGATGTGTGGAAGACGTGTGATTTTGGTTCCCAACAACACAACTTAAAACCAACAAAATACAAACGTCATCTGTTGTTGATATTCTTCATCATATTGTTAGCATTAGACATTGTGCTGACATTGAATTTTGTCACACGATGTTACAACCTAAATTCTACCAAATATCAACATCTGGCCAACTGGGAATGTACTTTAGTCACCTAAAAAAATCAGTCCCACCGAAAAATATCAAACTCATTTTACGTGTACATAGGGGTGGGAATCACCAGAGGATCCACGATATGATATTATCACGATACTTAAGTCACAATACCATATTACTACGATTTTAAATATGTTGCAATATGCTGAATATTGCGATACTATGCTACATTGATTTTTGTTCCCCCACCCCTACGTGTACGCTATATTTAAAACATTTTCACCGCATTACCTTTAGCATCAGACAGCCTTTTCCGACGAGGAACTGAAGCAGGTATTTATGCTCTCTTCAAAGCCAGACACCATTGACAAAAACAGCAATTTTACCTCACTGAACACAGGAGCTTCTGGTCTACCACTGCCTCGATCAGTTAGTTTGTGTTTTTGTGTGACTCTGGTGAAGCCTTACATTACTTATCTTTCACTGTGGTACTCCTGCCTGCTTCTCCAAACTGGGGGCATGCTGAATGAGATCTAATGTAGGTAACACACTATGGATAAGAACCTCAAACAACCCCACTTCAAAAGATCTGAACTATCCCTTTAATCTTAGTGAGCCTCTCTTGGTTGAAATATTAGCATGTAAACCACAACATAAGCAAACAGCAGCTGATCACAAGACATCAGCACATGTTAAAGATGATTACTGTTCTTGTGTCGTCATGTGCTTCTCAAGCTGCAAAGTGGCCTGTTTTTACTGGATGTTTAACACACTTATATCAATGAAAAGCGCTTTATTTCACACTTATAAAAGCCCAGACCGACACAAAAGCTACAGGGGTACAGGGAAAGGAACCACTGACCTTTGCCCTCTTTCGTCTTTGCCTTCCTGATTGGTGGCGGCTGCGGTGGAGGCTCAGGAGAGACGTTCGCTGCAGAGACCTGCTCAGCAACAGCAATCGCGGCAGCCGCAGCAGCCGCCGCGACAGCAGCAGCGTTGCCCTTGAAAGGATTATTGGAGCTGAACTCCCTCCACTTGGCCCCCAGTATGGTCATCATCTTTGACATGGGGATCTTGGGATTCTTCTTGGCTATCATCGGCCTGCGAGCAAGAGGTCAGGGTCATTAAAATGTCAATAATACGTATTAGTCACAGGAATGGCTTACATTTTAGTTCTCCACTCCGGCTCAGTCTGCCAGTGGAGCTGAGACAGCCAAATAACTTCCCGACATATACAAGCAGTGGACATTATGGATTCATGTTATCAGAGTCAAAGCAGGTATGAGTCAGCCACGGAGGCCGAGGCTCAGGCTGCCACTGACAGCACGACTAGCACAGATGATAAAGACACAGCTGCCAGAGGGAGACAGAGGCAAGTTGTTTTCAGCCCACGCCACCTGTATCTGTGTTAATATGCTGCGGGTACTTTCACCATGGACAGCTTCTGTTGCTGGAGGCTGGTCTGTGTGACAGGCGTGTAACTTTATACAAAGGGTAGCCCATTATTTTGTGTTCCACAACAGCACATGTGCATATGTATACATGCAGAACTGAGACGTAGAGCCATAAACAAGCTTACACTCCAAACTGGGCCTGTCTGGTGAGGTTAACCTTGCCGTAGAGATGTCTAACTTCTCTCCAATATAATGGAACTAGATGGGACTCAGCTTGTGGTGCTCAAAGCACTAAAAAATACATCTGAAAAGCAATGTCTCTATAGAGAAATCATGATCTGGTTACTCACCTTGTTGTGAGCAAATTCATGTAGGAACTATTTTCTTTCTACTGATCCACACCCACCGACTGTATCACTGCACAGAAGGAAGTGTGCATCTACTCATGGACGAGAGGCTCATTACAGTGCAAGATATAAACATTAATGGCGTCCTCCTCGGCTAAGCTGTAATGTTAGCTAGCTCAGTGGTGCTAGGTGAGCAGTAGATACGTGTTTCCTTCCAGGTTCCTGTCGCTTAAGGCAGGAGGATTTAAGACCTTTTAATGCCACTTGAAATTACATTTAACACCAATTTTTCGAACTCAAAACAAAGGGAAAAAAACACAAACTGACATCAGTTACTTAGGATGAGGGACTAATTTTGCCCACATACTTATTTTAATATAAAACATGACTTTTTTGCCCTGTGGTAGATACAAGGGAAGAACAGAACTTGGAAATATCAGCCGTTCGTTGGTGCATGAGGGATTCCACTGCCTTGATTCTCATCATGCCGAGTTTAAGAACTTCATGCATGAAACACATCAAGCCTTGCATGTATTGCTTTGGTCCAGCTTCAACCATGCTGCAAATTCTTGGTTACTGGACATAGCCATTCTCGGAACCCATCAGCTGTATTCGGCGTCTGACTTCCAGCAGACGGCGATACAGCCTCTGGGGGCAAGGCCCTGGATTTTTTGGCATTCCGGTTTGATTTGGGCGGAGGAGGTGAATTTCCGTTTCCGACTTCCATTTATATATAAGTAAATATGCTGAACCATTGCGATGGATTCAGAGTTTGCAGTGACGCCAATTATGTTTCGCCTTGTTAGTTCACCGCACGGACCGTTTAACCTGGTAACAACTGCAGCCGGCTCAAACGTGATTTGTCAATATCACGCGGACTACAAACAGCCTAGCACGCTCTTCTTCCGGAGGCAAGATCTCCGGGGTTTGCCTACAGACTCTACATTCACTGAATATAGAGTCTGTATATAGAGACTAAGACATAGCCAATTTGTTTTGAATTTGCACTTCCCTGTGTCGTTCAGGGTCCAGTGACAGCAAGCTTGCAAACAGTGGTGACTCTGCTCTGAGAATCCCAGCTAGAAACAAAATATGACTGTTGCTGGTTCCGCTACCCTGATGTGACATTATTGCGAAAGGCGTTCGGTAAATTATTCTTAAAACATAGATATTAAGAATTATTTTGAGATTTTACAATGAAAAGCACTACAAAAGACACACACATCCCAACGTCCAATGGAGTGGAAAGAAACGTCTGGCAAAGTAGAGAACAAATAAGTCCGCACACCAAGCAGCTCCCATTGAGAAGGATTTTAATGCATAGCAATGTTTCAAGCCTCTTCCTCAGACTTCAGATTTTACAATGAAACATCAGAAAAAGCTACTAATAAAATCCTACTTCCCAAGTCATAGCATTTTTAAGACTTTTGAAAGACTGATTTAAGGGTGCTTTCACACCTGCGCTGTTTGGTTTGGTTCAATCAAACTCAAGTTTATTTGCCCCCTAAGTGCGGTTCGTTTGGGCAGGTGTGAACACAGCAATCGCACTCAGCTGCGCGCCAAAACAACTGAACCGCACCAGAGTTCAGTTGTAACCGGACCGAGACCACCTCTTCAAGAAGGTCTCGGTCCGGTTACAAACGAACTCTGGTGCGGTTTGTTTGTGGTGAGAATGTGTTCCGACCTGGATCCGAACCAACTGCAGTCACATGACACATTGTTTGGGTTAAACATGAGCATGTTACAATCCTGGAGGATTATTAATGTGCACCTCCTCCTGTACTGCCTTAATATGCACATTCAGCACATCCAATGCATCAAAACATTGTTTTCTAGTTGGAGCCGCGCCTCGTTTTCAAACTGTATGGTTTGACTAAAATGAACAGTGACAGCGATATAGTCCACGATGAGCAGCGCTAAAATCAACCTGCGTAGTTGTCCCTCCATTGTGACATTAGAAAGTGTCACATTAATCTTGCGAGTGTACTCTTCTTCAATGTTTGGTTTACTTCCTGGATTTTTCCCGCATGGAAATTCTGACCAATCAAGAGCAGCTTTCTCACACAAGGCATTTGATCTGGTCCGCTTGTAAATGCTGCTGTGAGAACACGAACCAACTCTAGGCAATTATACAACTTTGTGACGAACTCAGTCCCTGATTCAGACCAAAGCAAGCAAACAGTACTTGGAGCAAAAAACACTGTATGCATATGCAATACTTGTCTTCATGCAGCTACAGCCAGCTGTCAACGTCAGCACCATGGGAAAATAAAAATACCGCACCTCATGAACTGGCTGAAGGCTTTGTAGTTGGTGAGCTCCCTGTAGTCCTCCTCTGTGAAGGTATGATCAACATCCTCCAGACCCCACTCCTTTGCCAGCTGGGCTGAGGTCTTCTGCTCTATCGGCTGCTGGGAAGAAACCACCAGTCAGAACAGACAGATAACATAATGCACTTAAAGATGATTTTTTTATTGTGTGTTACTCTTTACCTTTGTTGTTTCCTCCTGACTGCTGTCTCGGTCCCCATCGACTTTTTTCTTCTTCTTGGTTTTCTTCTCCTTCCTTTCTTTATGTTTCTTCTTCTTCTTTTTCTCTCCAGATCCATAGTCACTGGCTACGCTGTCTGAGTTGTCGCCGAAATCTCTTTCTCTGTCTGAGTCTCTGTCTACATCACTGTCCTGAAGAGAGGAGGAGAATGAAAAATAATGAAGACGTTGTAATGTAGTCCACAAAGTAAAAACAAAGTGCAACAAACTTACAATCTTCTTGCGTTTTTTTGCTTTGACAGGTTTCCCCTCTTTGTCTTTCTTCTTTGTGTCCCTCTTTTTCTTCGGCCGTCCTTTCTTCCTGAGCGGGACCTCTCTGTCTGATACCTCTGGCTCTTCTTCTAGGCGGGAGCGAGACAGCTATTAGAATCAGATGAGCAATAAGCTTCCCAACACCCAGCTAATCCCAGTTGAACATAATTACACACAACAGAAGCTGCATGATAGCCACGGTGGCTTCGGCGACCTCTGACCCCTTCTGAATTGTGACACATGGTAAATTAGATACAGTTCATCAGAGGGCTGTAAGTACATGTGACAGCTGGTGTTGGTGGTTCCATCGCATGGGGATAATTCCCAGTAATGGCAGTGTTAGGAGTCAGAATTGAGCCAGTTTATTTGGCCTTATTCTAAGGCGTTACTCATCAGAGTCTCAGCCAAGTTGAACAACCGAACGCGACCAGACTTATTTCTTCTAGTATGCTGAATTTGGGCCAATGCTGGGCCAGGTCATTTTGATAACAGCCCAGTGACAGCAGTGTCTCTCGACAGAACTTTATTTGGCTTAATTCTGGGATGTAATTCACTCTAAGTCTCATCAAAGTCAGGATACTGGACTTGACCTGACTTTTTTATCTGGCAAGCTGAGTTTGGACCAAAGCAGGGCCAGGTCACTTTCTGGCCCTTGATGGCAGTCGGAGGGCGAATTGAGATGGTTTATTTGGGTTTCGAGTCCCCTTAAAGTCAGGGAACCGGACGCAGTCTGGACCGCAGCTGGGCTAGGTCATTTTTGATAACAGCCCAGTGGTGGCAGCTGAATCGAGACATTACTTTACTTGTCCCGATTCTGGGGCATCATTTATCCCGAGTCCCAATTCAGCAAGTCGGGCCATCGGATGCAGCCCAACTTATTTTGGGTTTGGGCCTATGCTAAGCAGGGTCACTTTTAATAATGGACCAGTGATGTCAATGTCAGGAGACGAATCGAGCCAGGCCCAGTTCTGGGGCGTCGTTCATCCTCCCGAGTCTCAGCCAAGTCGGGAAACGAACACTGTCTAACTTCTTCTGGCATGCTGGGTTTGGGCCAAGGCTAGGCCAGCACTTTTTTTAAAATGGCAGTCAGCAAGTGTAATTGGGAAAGTTTATTTGTCCCAATTCTGGGACATCACTCATCCCAAGTCCAGGTCGGATGCAGCCCAACTTATTTCTTCCACCATGTTGGGTTTGGCTGGGTCAGGTCCTTTTTAATAACAGCCAAGTTACGGCAACGTCTGCAGCCAAATTGAACCAGTTTATCTGACCCAATTTTGGGCCCTCATTAATTCCAAGTCTTTGGGTTTGGGCCGAAGCTGGGCTGGGTCTTTCTTAATAACAGTCAAGTGATGTCAATGTCAGCAACCGTAATTAGGACAGTTCAACTGTCCTGATTCTGGGGCATCATTCATCCCAAGTTCAGGCAAGTCCGGCCACCGGATGCAGCCCAACTTATTTCTTCCAGTGTGCCGGGTTTGGGCCTAACCTAAGCCAGGTCATTTTTAATAATGGACCAGTGATGGCAGTGTCAGCAACCAAATTGAGCCAGTTTGTCTGTCTCGATTCTGGAGCATCGGTCAACAAAATTCTCAGCCGAGTCAGGCACCCGAACACAGCCTAGCTTATATCTTCTAGCATGCTGGGTTTGGACCGAAGCTGGGCCGGGTCTTTCTTAATAACAGCCCTGCGGTGGCAATGTCGGTTTCTGGGGCATCATTCATCCCAAGTCTCAGCCGAGTTGGGCAACCAGATGCAGCCCGACTTATTTCTTCCAGCATGCCAAGTTCAGGTCGATGCTGGGTCAGGTCATTTTATCAACCTGGGCTGATTTATTGAGGATGCAAAAGTGTCATTTGTCATTTAAACTTTTGATTTAAGGGAACACAAATAGTAGAAACACAAATACCTCAGCCCCCCCTTCCCCCTTGTTATATAATAGAGGACTCACAGCCACAGAGCATCTAAAATACATGACTGTATCTCTGCTTTCACTGCAAATGATGTGAAAATATCAGGCCAGTTATTCCCCACGCTGCTTGTGCAATATCACAACCACAGGGAGAGCAATTGAACCTGCAACCTGACCTGGCTTGGGGTAGAAAAAGAGACAGAGAAAACAACAGCAGCCACAGCTTCAAAAGGCAAAAATGCAGCAAAGCATTAAAGCATAACCAAAATATGGGCTGCGGTCTGGGCCTGTGCAACCAGCCTGTTAGATAGGCTACGTTCTGTCGGATTTTATTGTCTGCCTGCCTTTGTTGGTGAGCGCTCCCTCCAGCAGCAGCGGCGGCAGCAACAGCCCCCTCCTCCTCCTCCTCCTCCTAGTCCACCACCACCTCCTCCTCACTCCCACCCCAGCCAACCCTTCCCGCGTATCCGTGCAGCGCGCAGCCGCCGAAGTCGCGCCGGGGGCGGCGGCAGCACGCACGCAGGGCTCGGTGATTCAGAGGCCGCCAGCGGGACGGTGCGCTGAACTGGAACGACTCCTCTCCCGCGCTGTAATTCCCACACGGGGACCCCGACCACCGCTGCGACCGCTGCTGGAGGTCGTGAGGGGGTTAAGGTCCTCGACGGGAAGCTCTATTTATCTGTCTGGAACCGGCATGGCGGCGCAGCTAATTAGCTCCAAAGACAAAGCGGTGTTTGATTCCTGTGATATTCACACAGGAAATGACACTTGTGCAAACTCACATTTCTCCCCTGTGACATCTGCACTTTTAACTTTCTCTGCATCGCACCCAACATACAACACACTCATCACTAGGTTACTGTGTGTTTTGTGAATAAACTGCAACCTTAAGGCTGCTGCACGGCTATTTTTGACTTGCACTGTTGCAGTGTGGTTAACCAGCCACTACTTTGTGCACCCTTTACTTTCACTGCTGCAACCCCCCCGTGCTGCTGCTACTGTCACAGAAACTTCCAGAATGTCATTCAATCATTTTCGTTTTGTTGCCACAGCTGAGAGGAGTGACAAAGCTGCCATGCTGGGATATAATGCATTTGATAAACATGTTGTTCAGGTGGTAAGAGGAAGCTGAGCAGTCACACCTCAGTGTCCTGTGAGAGCAGCAGCAGCAGCAGCAGCAGTAGTGTCCTATTTTGACCTGTCACAGCGACATTAAGACAAGAGGGCAAGTTTGTGTCTGGCACCCAGCTTTCAAGTCTGCACAGCACAACGCATCCTCTCCTCTCTGATGGGCATCAAATATATATAGCCCCCGGCCAGCCAGGGGAGTCCATGTTTTCCAGCCCTCTCTCTCTCATCCATGAGCTTTTTTAACCCTTCAGGGCGACCTTATCACACCCTGCTCATTTATCTATCATGCATGTCTGAGAGCTGTCAAAATGGATCTGAGAGGGGCACACAGGCTGCAACTTTTTAATGCTGACGGAGGAGGAGGAAGAAGAAGAAGAAGTGCAAGGAAAAGCAGCCGTGTGGCAAGTTAGGAGTAAACTTTGTTGGGATGTGCTGGAGGTGCAGAGGAAGTGGAGTGGGAGAGATTGAAACAACACTGGTGTTTTTGCATTTTGTTGCAAAGTGGAGAGGAGTTTCAAAGCGCGCTCTCGACCTTCTTTTTTTATCTCCAGTATGTCTAGCTGCACAAATGGCACCTATACTAACACATAGGTGCAATAGCTGGGGGGCTACGGAGGCTGTGGCGGGTAAAGGTGGTGAAACATGTGGCTGGTTTTTATAGTAAAAGTACTATTTTTGCATGCGCGCACTCGCTGGTGTCTACTGTACCGTGTGGAGCTGTGGAGGCGCCGATATGGAGCACAAACTGCGGCTGCTTCTCACCACGCCGTCTGCCTTTGCAACATTTCCCCAAACCCGCTAACTAAGTGTGTTTTTATTTCGTGTGCGCGCTCCCGACTTGTGCGCCAGTTTTCTCCTGTTTTACTGTACCTGGCGCGGCCGGTGTTGCAGTTTCCCGAGGCGCCGCCGGCGAGTTTATGTCGCTTGCGTTCTCGTCTAGGTCTCCGTCGTCGTCTTCTTCATCAAAATCTCCTCCCTCGGAATTAACCACCATGCCCTCGTCTTCCTCACAGGAGCGGAGAGGAGAGGACATTATACTCCTGTCATCGGGTCCGTCCTTGTGTTCCAAAAAGCGTATTCTTGCCCCGAATGTGTGATATTTATTTAATATTCAAATCGGCACAGAAAAAAGTGGGGGGCGTTTTGAAATATTTTACACTAGGCAGAGCAACAAAGATGGCCGCCCTCTTATATTTATTTTTTAACAACCCCCCCAATAAGAAAAAATCCCCTTACATAAAAAATGGCTGACTATATTATTTCAGAACGCACCCCCCTCCTCCTTTCTCTATCTCTCTCCGGCTCCCTTTCTCCCTCCGCGCGCCCCCTCCCTCCTTAAAAACGTACACATTGTTACAAGAGAAAGGGGTGTGTGACTGCATGTAAGTTACATTGTTACTTGTTTGTTTCTTTTTTCCCCCCCCCCCCCCCCACACACACACACACACACACACACACACCACCACCACCCTCACCTCCCTCCCTCCACCTCCTCCACCTCCACCTCCACCCTCCCCTCGTCTCGTTTCTCCCCTCCAAGTCCGGATCAGTCACGAATCCGACAGACTCGCCTGGTGTCACTGTCACTTGCAAGATCACGCGCAACAACTCTCTCTTTCTGCATTGCAGAGCCCGACACAAATCTATCAAATATGGCCACCTTATATTCTCCGGAGCCCCCACCGTTGTATAAAAAAATATTTTGGAGCACAGTGTGTGTGTGTGTGTGTGTGTGTGTGTGTGTGTGTGAGTACTGGGGAGGGATTGAAAGAGGGGGGTTGGGAAAATCTGCCGCAGCCATGCCCAGACTTACATCAGATTGTATTGCTTAAAAATTAACTACTTGTGGTGGGGATGGAAACAATTCACAATATGCAAACTACGCCCCCCCCCTCCCACTTTATAAAGCACCATATTAAACAGCTCAGAGCGGGTAATCCAGAGGTTTTAAAACAAGCACAGGAGATTTTTTGTGAACTCTTGTTGGTGTGTAAATCTCAGCAGCAGCAGCAGCAGCAGGCTGGATGGCAGTAAGGCCATGGGAATCCCTCAACCCCAGCCAGCCCTCAGTGGCTGCTCAGGGCATTTTTGTTTTGACAAAAGGAATTTTGATTTGCCTTTCACATTCAAAAGCTCGCAGCCGAATCGGGGTCAGACAGGAGAAACTGATGGCAGCGAGATAGAGTAGGAAATATTATCTGCATCCTGATGAGCTCCTTATGCAAAAAGAAATGGGTTAAAAATATGAATAAAGTTTAACAACTTATATTCTCATGAACATTTGTTTAATGTGCATTTTTAATTTCTCCCAGCTATTTGGGATCAGTAGAACCTGATGAGTGTAAAAAACTAAACATTGTCAACAATAATAAAGTCTCACTGTCCTCAAACAAGATGATAATAAAGTCCCAATGTCCTCAAACGAGACAACAATAAAGTCACAATGTCCTCAAACGAGATGATAATAAAGTCCCAGTGTCCTCAAACAAATGAGACAACAATAAAGTCCCAATGTCCTCAAACAAATGAGACAACAATAAAGTCCCAGTGTCCTTAAACGAAATGATAATAAAGTCCCAATGTCCTCAAATGAAACGATAATAGAGTCCCAATGTCCTCAAATGAAACGATAATAAAGTCACAATGTCCTCAAACGAGACGATAATATAGTCCCAATGTCCTTAAACAAATGAGACGATAATAAAGTCCCAGTGTCTTCAAACAAATGAGACAACAATAAAGTCCCAATGTCCTCAAACAAATGAGATGATAATATAGTCCCAATGTCCTTAAACAAATGAGACAACAATAAAGTCCCAATGTCCTCAAACAAATGAGATGATAATATAGTCCCAATGTCCTTAAACAAATGAGACAACAATAAAGTCCCAATGTCCTCAAACAAATGAGACAACAATAAAGTCCCAGTGTCCTTAAACGAAATGATAATAAAGTCCCAATGTCCTCAAACAAATGAGACAACAATAAAGTCCCAGTGTCCTTAAACGACATGATAATAAAGTCCCAATATCCTCAAATTAGACGATAATAAAGTCCCAATGTCCTCAAATGAAACGATAATAAAGTCACAATGTCCTCAAATGAAACGATAATAAAGTCCCAATGTCCTCAAATGAAACGATAATAAAGTCACAATGTCCTCAAAAGAGACGATAATATAGTCCCAATGTCCTTAAACAAATGAGACGATAATAAAGTCCCAGTGTCCTCAAACAAATGAGACAACAATAAAGTCCCAATGTCCTTAAACAAATGAGACAACAATAAAGTCCCAATGTCCTTAAACAAATGAGACAACAATAAAGTCTCAATGTCCTCAAATGAGACAACAATAAAGTCCCAATGTCCTCAAATAAGACAACAATTAACTCCCAATGTCCTCAAATGAGATGATAATAAAGTCCCAATGTCCTCAAATGAGATGATATTAAAGTCCCAGTGTCCTCAAACGAGACGATAACAAAGTCCCAATGTCCTCAAATGAGACAATATTAAAGTCCCAGTGTCCTCAAACGAGACGATAATAAAGTCCCAATGTCCTCAAATGAGATGATAATAAAGTCCCAATGTCCTCAAACGAGACGATAACAAAGTCCCAATGTCCTCAAACGAGAAGATAATTAAGTCCCAATGTCCTCAAACGAGACGATAATTAAGTCCCAATGTCCTCAAACCAGTACTTCCTAATTAACAGTGTCTTATCTTGTCACTGTTGCTAAAATGGGTCAAATTTGTTGCCATATTAAAATACAAACATTATTAATCATGAATAAACAAGTTTTGGACCTTGTCCACTTTTGTGTTGGGATCAGCTGCAGACTGACTTGGCAGAGATGGCTGCCATCTTATTTTTACATGGATTAATGTATTGTGCTCTTTCTACCACTAGATGTGGTAGAAAGATGTGGTAGTGTCCACGAACAAGGACAACAGGTCTAAGTTAAGCAAAATAAAGTATAAGGTCAAGTAAACCCAAAATGTGATGTCCTCATACGAGGACACAGGGTCTGACATGGCCTTGATTTAATTTCAATCAACTAATTTTGTTACAAGTTCATTTAAAAAAGAAAAATAAAGCAACAAAAAAAGCATCAAAATGAGCAATTTCACATAATAAATGAATGTCATAGTACTGAATCCCAAATTAAATGATACCTGCACTTGATCTTTTTGGTCCAGGAGGTCTGATCCGGGACCATCCTGATAGAAACTTTATGTTGCTGCCATCTCTGAAGCCACTCTCATCCCGCTGAACTGTTCAACATCTGTCCGGCTAGCATGCACATTAGCAACACTTCCAACACTGAGCTGTTGACAGTCCAAACAAACTCACACCGACACCGAAACTGCTGAACTCTGTTGTTAATAAGCGTCAGGTAACATTAGCTGTGTGATGATTCGGTTAGCCCTGTCACTGTGCATTTATGGCCAGGCAGACTCTCACAACTGTCCACAATGTGGAGCTCACACTCCTGCAGCAGCAGCAGCAGCTACAACACATACAGTTTGTAGAGTGGTTGACTTGTGTTTGACGGAATTGGCAGTAATGTAACTTCTTATATTTGACTTTTTGATTACTTATTATTATTAAGTGATTTGATTGGCAGATTAGAGGCGGTGCAAAGTCACAAAAGAGAGCCGACCCAAAAGAACACTTAACACTGAAGAAATTATGCCGAATAAACGACAGCCCGTTGTTCGGGCTCGTACTGTCACTGCCCTCGCACTTCCATGCGTCCTTTACGTTAGCATAGGTACATCCACTAGATGGCACCAGAGGGCAGGAACAAAAGTTTCTGACAACATCAAACAAGGCAACAGTAACAAGGTCATATAAATGTTCTTTTTAAGGGAGACAGCACTACATATAATGGTCATTAAATACACTGCGACATGTGGAAGGAGAATTCTTTTCACTAAATTACTGATTTGTTCGCCATTTTTAAAATGTCTCCATCATGTCCAACAGTTATAACTTGAACTATGCTACACTGCCCCCATGGATTCCGGTAGTACTGCTCCATTTTGAAAAACATGCACAAATATGGATGAAATGAACACAGCATATCAACAGGTGGCTCTGTACGTGTCCATATACATATCCAGTGAGCATAAATGAGCCTTTATGGATACGGACAAAGTGGAGCACGTCCACCGGAGACTGTCAAGGCACTGTGATGTAGCTCAAACAAGATATGACCATAGGGCATGTTGAAGACGCCCCCCACCCCCCAATAAAAACATTAAAGTACAGAGGACTTTTATTTTGACAAAATTAAAGACATTTCCACCGTAAAATGATGCAGAAAAACTCACCAGAATGCAAAAAATTAAGTGTTGCTCAACATTTTCTGGCAGAGGAACACACTGTTGTTGTTTACTCAGACACTCATTAATGATATCAGTAACACCTCTGCTTTTCTTCCTGTATGTCAACATTTAAATTCAACAGTAGGAGGAACTCATCCAGGACTTCCTCAACATGTGTGATATAAATTCTCGCAGCTTAAAAATCTACAGTCAGTCGGAGGGTTATCTCCTGTCAAAACCAAAGTGCCATATTAAAAATATGGCTGATGAATACTATAGCCCTTCTCATGTTTCTTAAAGTATTTTTTGTCTTAAATCCATTGCAATTCAAATTTAAGTATTTTTTTTACTTTAATATGTATGCACAGTACACGTGAAGGCTTAAACTACTGTATAACATAATCATTTTGTGCCCGTCAATGAATCAGTCAGTGACACCATCAGTTAATTGGACACAGCTGGTCGTGGAGCAACACTTAACGAGCCCACGCCTTGTTTTGACTTTTGTATGTGTACAGAGACGAGTCAACCAGAAGTCCATTCATAACTATGGGAATGGAAGTATCCAATGTGCCTGCGTAACTCCTCCCCTTCATAATATTCCGGTGTGAAATTTGCCACGAGTACGTTAAAAATTGAACGTTTGCAGTGGATTTCAGAGAGAACGTATGACGGTGTGCTAGCTTAGCTAACAGGCTGCTAACTAGCTAACAGGCTATTTCCTTTAATTCAGTTGCCTGTGTTGATCGTCAGGTGAGAGTGTATGACTGAGAACAACTTGTTTATCTAGTTTTAACACATTATGAATCGGAGTAATTTTATTCTTCTAAAATATGGTTATACGTTGTATACAGTCAGATTGTCATCACATCTATGACTCGTTCAGCCACGTACCTGGCAGGTCCCGTTTCTGTCCTGGTAATGCACCAAGCACATTTTCCAAAATACTAGATGGCAAAAAAAAAAACGACAAAATTAGCCTCTCCCTAATGGCTACATGTGGTTTCCATCTGTAAAGAAATGCACTTCCTTGCGTTGGACACTAGAGGCATCATCTGTATATTTACGGATCTACG